TGCTTTGAAGAAGGCAATAGGAGAACAGGTTCTGAGTCCGTTCGAGTTATACACATGTCTGCTAGAAGTCGGAAATCTCGTTAATCAACGCCCGATCGGCCGTGTTCCAAATGACCCGGATGACGGCAAATATTTATGCCCGAACGACATGCTTCTTGGAAGAGCAACACCGGAAGTTCCTCAAGGCCCATTCCAAGACACGAAAAACCCGCGACGCCGTGTAGAATTTGTGCAGAAAATTGTGGAGTCATTCTGGAAACGTTGGAGCAGAGACGTACTGCCAGCGCTAGTGATAAGGAAGGCATGGCATACAGAAAGGCGAAACGTTCAAGTCGATGACATTGTAGTCATGGCGGACAACAATGCTATCCGAGGTAAATGGACCATCGGCAGAGTAATCGAGGTGTATCCCGGGACAGATGGCCGAGTCCGTAATGTCAAAGTAAAAACACCAGCCGGAGAATACAGCCGCCCAGTCACCAAGATTGCTGTTATATATCCTGCTGAGGGATACGACTAAATAAAATTAGGCTGACTTCAAGAAGGATAAGGACTACGCCCTTATCGGGGCGGAGAATGTTTCGTTTAATAAATAGGCGTTGCCTCGTGTTGACAGATTTATTCGATGACAAGAATCGTGATTGACATTAATTAAATAGATTGATTTAAAAGCGTTAGATTATTATGTTTAAGTCAGTTTTTCAGCAGAATCGAAGTGAGAAAGAAGTTATTTTGTTATCGTTTTTCTGTCTCTAAATCCGCTTACCTGGAGAATCTGCTAACCCGTAAAGTGAGACTGTTGTAACGACCCGCCACAGAAGTAAGTTTATATTGAAGTTTTTGAATTCAGTTACAAGATAAAGACTTGATTTGCGTTTGTTCTAATTGCGAATTATAAATGTATTTCTTTTAGATCGAATAATTATTAAAGCTTGGCTTAATATTATACGGTTTGTGGTGGTCACTTGATCTAATCAGTTCCGAGTAAGGAAACATTCACAAAAGGGTACAAGTCAAAGTTCACCTACTTCATGCGCTAAATAATTCGTTTGAGGATTATGTCGATCCAATCCAGGGGGTGATTGACGACTTACCTCTTCCAACTTTGTTCGGTCAATCAGAGCCTCTCCCCAACGAGGTGCGTCTACTCGTCACCTTAAAAACGGCTCAAGGGGGTCTGGGCATGCAAGATTTGAGAGCTGAGGTGCCACAACAGTTTTCTGCCTCAAAGTCAATAACTTCTGCGCACGTAGATTCTATCACATCGCAGAATACATTTATAGCGCCAGGCGAAAGCTCTACGGAGGAGCTTTAAGAGATATCATCAGTCACTTAAGACGGCGCGTGACAAAGAGAAAATGGAAAGCGTTGCGTCAACTCTTTCCTCGGATCTGCTGCGACTAGTTAATCAATCGAGAGAGAAGGGCGCAAATTCTTGGTTAAATGCAATGCCTCTCGCAGATCAGAGCTTAGCCCTTAATAGGCAGGAGTTCAGAGACTCGCTATGCCTACGGTATAATTTGCCTCTAGTCGATATACCAAGTCTAGGTGTGTGTGGGGATAAATTTACTGTAGGCCATGCCCTCTCATGTAAAAAGGGGGGCTTTGTAGCGCAGAGACATGATGGTGTCCATGATTTATTAACGGCATTCATCAATAAGGTCTGCGACAATGTGGAAATTGAACCACGCCTTCAACCCCTCGACAACGAACGGCTACATTTGAGAAGTGCCGTCACAAGCTCTGAGGCAAGATTAGACATCAAGGCGGGAGGTTTCTGGTCAAGAGGAGTTTCGACATTTTTCTATGTAAGAGTTACGCACGTTAACTCCAAGTGTTACCAGGACAAGACAACATCTGAAGTATTCAAGGAGGAAGAGGACAAGAAGAAACGCAAGTATCAGCAGCGGGTGCTAGATGTAGAGATGGGTTCATTCACACCTTTAGTGTTTGGAACCAATGGTGGAATGGGAAATGAGTGTCAGAAATGAATGTCTTTCCTGAAGCATCCTGCAGATAAGATAGCTCAGAAGGACACCAAGCCGTATAACACTGTTATCGCATGGCTCAGGACACAAATCTCTTTCGAACTTCTAAGATCGTTTAAATAAATGCTGTTGTTGTTGTTGTTGTCAGGACACAAGTCTCTTTCGAACTTCTAAGGTCGGTACACGCATGCGTGAGGGGTTCACGAACGCCTTTTCACAGCAAGATAAGACACTCCTTAGACTACGAAATAAAAGTCGCCACTGCGGGCATCTTAAGTTTTTTTTAGGGCAATTTTCACGCTAAATGCTTTTGTACTATACATGATTTTGAATTTTTATGAAATTTCGTATATTAATTTTATCAATTGTATTATGTAAATAATCTTGAATTGTGAATAAAGTAATCCTTTCAGTTGTCGGAAAACTTCATGTTTTCTCCCTTGATCGTGAATAAAAATTCGTGAAGCTGTATAGCTTATTGATCTTGCATCATACCACGCCGAACGAGCCACTAGAGCGTGAAATCTCACTTAGCAACAAAGCAACTCTAAACCAATCAAACCTCATTCGAATGTTCTCCACTAGTTACAACTAATTCATTTTTAAGACGAACATGTCAACCAGATTTACTTAAGTTTGTCACATAATACTCAGCATAAGTATGAGTGGAATTTCTTAGAAAGGAACAGTCTCTATTTTCATGATGTTTCTGTTTGATTAGGAGTATTGCTGACAAGGCCAACCATTGTCTGAAATACTACAATCAAGTCATATTTAGGGTCATTTTCCTTTTGTATTTTCAGTGATATTTAACAGCATGTATGACTGTATGAAAACCTTAAGGGTCCTTATGTTATTCTTGAAAATATAAAATGGTCATATTATATCTATATATACATAGAATTTATACAATTAAATAAATGAGATTAACCTTTGCCTGTGCTAGTTATTGTATTTTTAAATAAAAATTGCTATTATTGAAAAGAAATCAAATCTTTCTTATTTGAACGTCAACCAGAAACCCTTTACTTATTGCCTAATAATGCCTGCTTTAGTTTCAGCTGATTACCCATAAGGAGTCATTTGTTGCTCATAGCTTGTGCGCTGCGTCATCAAAGAAGCAGTGGTAGGTACACGACCAAGGAACGAGAGGATATTCTTAAAAAGTGATTCTAAAGTAGTATAAGACTAAAATGGAATGCCAAAAAGTAAAATGCAGAGCAGACTGTGATAAAAATTGAGCAAAGTCGATGAAATATGCAAGCTGTACTTCAAGTATTTTCTAAGCCTCCTAAGAAAAAAATAGAAAGTAATACGCGGGGAATTCGATGAATTCTTTAATATAAAAAATAAAGAAGCCTTAATCCATCTGTCAAACACGCAAAAATTTGAAATAATTCCTCCAAGAAGATAGGGAAGATATAACTCTTGAAATTTCACTTTTCAGAAGACATACTGAGGCAAGTGTTGTCCTCCATGATTAGATACCACAATCCCATGAGGAGAGGGAGTGGGAAGAGCCCACTTTTCCCAATCCCTTATCCCTTTTTCCCGTACTCCGTCAATAACATTGCCCCATAATTTCCTTCTTGGCACACGCTGTTAGGAATGAAAATAGACATCTGACCTTTGTCCTCTCTGAAAACAATTGTAGTATCGGGGTCTACTCACGGTGATTTACACGTGCGAGCATGTAGAATTTGTTGGACTGAGGGAGAAAGAAATTAATTCGAGCACTTTGCCAAGTTGAGTCCCAGCCAGATCAGATATTTCACGCATTTGTTCATCAGCAAAGTTACGGGAAAATTGCCGGTGGTTTTTAGGCTCACAGCTCGGATCAGCAATTTCGAGAGTGTCCTATACGCAGAATGGGTAAAAAGGACAACTGGAAATTTCAGCGCGGTTGTCAGGACGGACGACCTATTGGTCTCTTCGTCAGTAACAGCAGATTCTCCTCCTAAAGCAGGTGTCCGCGAGGCTTGAAGGGATTCCACTTATATTCCAGCGGCTCATGTTTTCGTACCTATTTTAGCCATTACCTAAAGCCCAGATAAGTTGTTCATCCTTAAAGAGTGATAACGTCGTTGCAAAATGTTTGTTGTTGAAGACAGTTGTTGGGAAGTCTTAATTATCCTGTGAAAACGGTCAAGGTACCAATTTCTGGTTGTACTTAAGAGTTTTCTCTGTAACTATCTCTAGTGAACTTCTGATTTCACTGTTTTAACGTAATCACCAGAATCGCGGGAAATAATAAACAGATGGTGTTTCAGGATTGGCTTCTTCAGTTGGTTGATAAAAGCGGCCTAGCTGAACTTCGTTTCATAAATTCCTATAAGCTATATAATTAAACTCGACTGCTCTCACTTTCTCGTCTTTTTGGCTGGAAAAGTTTGTTTCACTTAACTTAAGAGAGAATCGTGAGATTTTCTCATACTGTAATTAGTGATCAAGCACCCAAGTTGGTCATACGAGAAAGACAGTAATCCCCGTGCTTTTGACCTAACTTCCTGCATGCCTCAATGCACAAATGAATTACAGCACGACTCATGATGAGGTGGATATTTTGATCCTATTACTCAGTATTTGTCCATGAGGATTTTTATCCTCATCTTATGATGAAGTTACTCATCACACTTTATATATTCACACTGTATCCTGGTTGAAGAAAATCTGTTCTAGCTTTATACGGCTTTTTTAGTTTCTTACTATTTTTTTTTACTTTATTATTTCAGCTCGAAATAGGTATTTTATATTTTACACCTTTACACTCCTATTTCTTTTTTTTCTCTTCCCCACATCAATTTTTATTCAAATATTTTTGTTTCATATGTATCCGTGATTTGTACATCCGGTATTTTCGTGGATCGTCAAGTTCGAAACCTGAGAAACCTGAGAAATACACGATAAGAACTTCAGATAAATGTCACGAAAATAATTTAATTTTTTTTTTCAGTTTAGTGCGATCAACCTTTGCATTTGATTATTGTTTCATAACTATTTTTGGCTGATCAGATATTTTACAGATCTTCCCAGGCCGGCCTCAGTTTCAGTTTTTGGCATTTCAACATTTCAAGGATCATTCTTCAGAGCAACGATTTCTGTGTAAACTGCTTACGAAGTGCTCGTGGTGCGTGGTGATGCAAGAAAAATATTTCCTGCTTGGGGCGTGCCTCTTACGTCACAGCGTGACAGAGAGAGACTGCATCGAGCACGAAACTTGGCACTGGGAACGATATCAGGATGTGACGTCAGTTATCGGAATGGCCGGAGGAGGAAAGTGTTCATCGGTGAGGGAAATGATACTAGTAACACTGTGAAGGGGGATGTTTGTAAACCAACACTGCACTTATATTCATGTTCTGAGTAATTCTGTACAGAATTTTTAAACAAGTTATCCTTAACATTACTGATGCAAGATCTTTCAAAATCTGCTCAACTGGGTTAAGATTGTACAAGTTCGTAATAGCTGCTGCACACGCTTATGATCAAAATTCAAGATGTCTTCGTTCTTCAAACAACTGTTCCCCTTCATGAAAGTCAAGAAAAAGAAGGAATTTTCCTACATTATTCGTGGAGTTGACCCTAACACTATTTGGAGTCTTGTTGGTGAACTAGGTGATGGAAGTTTTGGGAAGGTTTATAAGGTAAGATTAAAATGCATATTCACTATTAATTTAAGCCGTTGCTGCACTGTAAATTCCAACGAAATCTTGTTTGGTTTGACTTGATTCAGCTTTGAGTTTGTCTCATAAGAAACACTTTACAACGCCTTGGGGAGTTACGGGAATATTTTTGTGGTAAATTCTAGAAACAATGTATGGATGCAAGTATTTCGTGAGAAAAATGTCTGTAAATTTCCTCATTAGTTAGAAGTTGTTCATGCAATTGGTCCGGCAATTCTTAAAAATATTTTGAGATTCGGTTTTTATAGCCTCACCGGCGACAGAAATATGCGACGGCAAAGCCTAACATTTTGCTTATTCTGATCGTGTTTGTGCAATGTTTACTGAACAAACAATACAAATGATATGTACTAATCAGTCGTTTGGATGTTTCTGTCAACTTTAATTTGCATTGTGGGATGCGGTGTAAGATAAATAGTTTTAAAAAAGCTTCAAATCACCTCTAGTATAGATTACTCACACATTCATCCCATTCTCCATTTGGAAATACTATTTCAGTTTGAAATATAAAATGGTATCCCTCAGGCATTTTGCACACAGGAACTAACAAGTTCAACAAAAAAATAATTACTGTAAATGGAAAGCTATTGAAGTATGACCCTTACAGTCGCCACATAAATGTATTCATGACATCAATGATATTGGTGGGCAGCTGTAAAGTGCTTCCTGCATAGGATAGCCTAAAAGTATCGAGAGAAAGTATCTTGTGGTTTTATTGCTATTACTTCATGCAAGGAATCATTTTTTATCATATTAACTGAGAATCTGGCAACCATCATCAGCTTGATAACCATCTTTTATGCCCTCTCCTGAGATCTGATTTATAATTCTCCTGTTAAGTTGCTATACATTTTATCTTACTTAGTTAAGAGAATTTGGTATTTTATCAAGACAACTCAAGTTCGCCTGTTTTTATCATCTGATTGGTGTATAGCATAATGATCTAGTTTGGAAAAGTTGTTTGTTTATCACCCCTTGGGGTCAGAAGATCAATTTAGTCTAGATCTTCTGTTAAAATCATACATACATTTGTAAGGATCATCTGACACTTGTAAGGATTCAGATAGATCCTCTCAACTGAAACTTTTGATGTTAAAAAAATCTTGCACAAAGCAGTATAGTGTGCATAAGGAAGTGCAAACAAAAAGCAAAAATATTTTGAACACAATGTTGTGCAAAGTATCAGATGTATTATCTGTTTGAAGTTTTTCATACTATTTCATTTCTCACATCAAAATTGCTAAAACTCATTAATGACACTAGAAGAACAGGGCAGCAATGCAAACAATGTTCACAAGGATTACACGGCATCATATCAGTGCTAGAACAGAAAATGTTCAAGGACAAATTCATGAGAATATTTTCAAGCCATCATGTTAATCAGGCCTGCATGTTTATGGTCTTCCAAATATTTTTTTTATATACAGGAAAAAATCTTTCTATACTGATTAGTATCAATATTGTCTTTTCAGGGTTGTCTTTTTCAACCATTAAACATTTTAAATTTGTCTCTCTTTCTGCAACAACAGCAAATTTCTCTATTATCATGAAATGAAGGTTAAATGAAGATTTTTATTGTTTGGGACATGATATTACATTTTTGTATGACCCATATGGCCTGTGTGTGTGTCTATTTAAAGACACAAGACAAAAATCCCTGTTTGAGGGCTTTGCGCTATGGAGCAGACAGGACCAGAAAAAGATGTGAGATGCAAGCTATAAGAAGAAAGAAAGATAAAGTGGTGATCATGTGATACCATGCTTAGTGTCTGAGTTAGGTAAAAACAGAAAAAATATTGGTTCTCTATCATGACCTGCCTGGCTGGCCCTCTCAATCAGTAAATAAGTACGTATCTGGTGGGGCATTTTAAGTTAAAGTATGTATTGAGCTTTAATTAATGTGATATAAAATACTCAGGTGGAAGTTTCAGTTGTTTGTTTCACTGAATTTGTTTCACTAAAATGTTTTACAGGCAGAACGAAAAACAGATAGTGTTCTAGCAGCTGCCAAGATCATTGATGTTAAAGATGAAAGTGAACTGGACGACTTTATGGTTGAAATAGACATTCTGAGTGAGTGTAAACACAAGCATGTCGTGGGAATGTATGAAGCTTACTACCATGAAAATAAGTTGTGGGTAAGTAGTTAGCAACTTATGTTGCAGAATGTATTAAATTATAATTACCTTAATTTGCTTACACAGAGCATGTAAAAAAACCAGGAGACAGTTTCCAGATACCCTTGAAAATGAAATCATTTTGTTAATTGTATTAATCTCTACTTAGTCTATAATGTTGATGCAACTTATTGTTGTACAATCAGGTCTTTTATCAAGTTATTAACAAATCAGATAACAGTGAAGTAGGAGTCCAATTTGTTAATCATGTGTATGATTACTGACACAAATAATATATGATGCAAAGCCAAAGTTCAATGTTATATTTTTATTTATGAAAATTTTACTGGCTGGGTATATTGTTTTGTAAATATGTCATAGTGTTAATTACTTGTGAATAATTGGTAACAGGACTTAATTGATTATCAAAGGCCCAATATGAGTACATAGTCTAATAGCTATGCTTGTGATATGACAGTTTGTGTTGTGTGGGAGTGCTCTCATACAGACTGTTGGAACTTACTGTATTTTTGTTAATGCTCAAAACAAGTTGCTGATAACCAACGAGGTTCAAGAATTGAATATAGTTTTGAATGTGGTATGGGTATACATGCTGATACCAGGTATATATTAAGTGGTTGTAACAGCAACTTAGATAAAGAATTCATGATTGTTTGATTTGCAGATGATGCTGGAATTTTGTTCTGGAGGAGCTTTAGATGATTTAATATTAGGTAAAAATTTTATTAAGGCTACATTGTATAAGCATCAATGTGTTACAAGTTCCTTTTGAGGGATATTTACACCTCAAGTTTTGTAGCTGGACAGCACCTATGTCATCTCTGGTAGGAAAATGAAATAGAGGTGGGTGGGGAGGGGGTCACTGGATTAATTTTGCTATAGATTGTTTCACAGACAGTACTATCAATGGTATTCTTATGCAATATTTGATCAAATACACAATTTCAAGGTAGTAGGATGGTGTATTCTAACTTGAGTCTGTGATATTAATCTCAGCTTCAATAGTCTTATCAAAAAGACATTTCCTACCACTGTCATTCCTTCAGAAACAGCTTGATTTTATGTGAACAATACAACTGCAAAATTACTGAAATTATTCAAATTCAGAATTTTTTGTTGAGGGTTAATAGAATCAGTAATGGAATGGATTTCTTAAAAAAAAAAAGAAAAAAATTATCTTCCTCGCTAATAGGGTGTAAATCATGATACTAGGACAAATTTTATGTTGCCCTGATTGGAGAAAAATTTTGGGTGGAAGGATGACCACAGTAAACTTTAAATGAACTTAGAGGGAGTTGTTTTATTAAACAGTATGTATTTAATGTACTCTGGGACTGGTTTCATAGACCTGGAAAATGATTTATTTTCTGTTTTAGAACTTGAGCGAGGTCTAAATGAAGAACAGATCAGAGTGGTGTGCAAGCAAATGTTTGAGGTAATAATAATTTATTGTTGTATACAGTTCAATGTCCTTTTTACTCATGAGTATGCAGAGCATAGGAAAAAGTAAAGTGGGCATGCACATTTTGTGGCCTTAGCATGGCCATAGGAGTCAGGGAGAGTATGCATCTTATAAATGATGTTGGACCAATCTTTAATTGTGGTGAATCAATTAGGGAGTACTTTCATGGGATGACAACTCATTTCAGTTTCTTGGAATCACAAGATATTGGCTTGTAGTATTATCACTGTTTATTCCTTTTGAACACTCTGCACAGGGTATTGACAGGTTCACCATAGTGTCACTTTGATTAGTGTCTTGAATGGCAGTTGTCCTTGTGAAAAACAAGTTTGCTTGAGCTTATTGTAGGGTCATTTAGAAGCAAACATTTCTCAGGATGAATGTGCATTTTTGATGGCTTCCAATCTTAAGGGATGGTACCTGCTTCTATTAATCATCTAAGGGATGGGTGTTATTAATAATAGTTATACTTTCTTTGAAGTGCACCCTGCACAGCATCAATATAATACTAATCCTAAGACTCTAAGGCTGCCAAAACTATTCCTATAATACATATTCTATGGCCCATCATTTTCACAACATTTTTGTCTGCACTTTCGTGGGTCATCTGACTGAATTTTAGAAAGTAGTCAGAAACCTCTGTGTTTGATCTGTAAACTCTGTTCCATAGTGAGAATTTAATTAGCTTCTCATACTCTGGTAAACTTTTTCTTCATGAAGTATATATTTCTCCACAGTTTCATTTAATAGTATTTGTTTGTGGAAATATATTATGGCAATTTAAAAAAAAGTCAGGATTCATTTCAGTGATGCTGAAAAGTCATGTTAGCTACTATTTATAATCTGTTTTAAGAAAATTTTATCCACTCATTCATCTATTATCTTCTTAATTGTAGTGCCTCCACTTTCTTCATACTCACAAAGTAATCCATAGAGATTTGAAAGCTGGAAATTTGCTGCTTACAAATGAGGGCAACATCAAGCTTGGTAGGATATGTTTGTGATATAAAGGAGGCCTGGAAAAAATTCCTTTCTAGGGATGAATTCAAATTTGCAAAGGGGTACTCTTACTTGTACTTTACTCTCAAAGTGCCTCTTCCCCCTGCAGGAGTGTAGGCTCTGTAGCAAGGGGGTTAGGTCATTATTGAGAAATTGACCAGCATCCTTTCCTCGAAGTAGGTGGAGTGTTGTGTTTTGTTTTGGGCAAGGCACTTTACTCTCACAATACCTCTCTCTCCCCCACAGGAGAATCTGTGGGTTCTGGCAGACTACTTGGGAAAATATATGTGGGAGGGGGGGGAGGGGTAGGGGCAAGTTATAAGCAATGGATTGGTATTCTTTTCGTGAAGTATTAGCAACACTCCTAGTTGCTTAATGCTACAGAAACCAGGTAAGGTATGGCTTTTAAGCCAACTTTACCATTTTAAGTTTCACAAGTGGGCAAAAATATTGATTATAAAAATATGATTTTTTCCTCATTTGGGGTTATTTTAATGGAAGGTTACAATTTTTCATTGTCTTAAAACTAATGGGTCTCCTAATGTATATTTGGTGTGCATAATTACAAAGTTTCCTTGAGATAGGATTTTAAGCCTCCCTGTGAATGAGTGCAATTTATTTTCCAGCTGATTTTGGTGTTTCTGCCAAGAACAAGAAAACTATACAGAGAAGAACAACATTCATTGGGACACCTTACTGGTGAGTTAGATTATGACTCAAAGATGTCAAAAATGTGTTGTGATGTAGCTACTTAAAGAAATTATGGAGAATTTGAGCCAAAAATAAGAGTCCCTCAGATTTTAACCATGTACACCCATATTTCTTGAGGGTCTCTCAGAGTCCAACAGTTGCAAGGGAAAAAACTTTATATGTTTATTTATTTAGTTATCAATAATATTTCACTAGGCTGGCCTAGTTCAGCAGCAACCAGTAAAAACATTTTAGAGTAATATGTGCTAAAAGACCCGAGATAATTTACAACAATTAGTACATGCTAATTTTTAGGATGGCTCCTGAAGTTATTGTAACAGAGACATGCAAAGATGACCCCTATGACTACAAGGTAATGTTGACTTCATCTTGTTAGGTAACTGTGGTATGCACTACTCTGATCTTTTCAATATACCTCAGATATGCTGGTGCTAAAACACAATTAGACAAACTGATGGTACAGATTTTTAAAACTGTGTAATTTGTAAATGTGGAAATCTTTCAAGCAAATGTACTGCTCTGTAGTGTGAGACCATGTAATATTTTTCACAGAGCCATACAATGCTACTTTTGAAGGTTAAAGTATGTCATTAAATTTACATGTACCTCATGTTCTTTCCTCTTGTATGTTGTGGTAATTTTATTAGAGTAATGCTTGTAAAAGGCCCTTTTTCCTTCTCACCTCCTAAAGGGTTAGGATCGCAGCATTCAGAGAAGTTGAATGATCTTCACTTTGCCAACTTTAACTTTCTTTGCTTTCATTTAAGGCTGATATTTGGTCTGCTGGTGTTACACTCATTGAGCTGGCTGAGATGCAACCTCCCTACCATGACATGCACCCTATGAGAGTGTTGTTCAAAATACCTAAAGCTGACCCACCTACACTGCAGTTTAGAAATAGATGGTAAGTAAGGTCATTGAAGGGTGGAGTGGGAAAGGGTGATGGGCCATTAGGCACAGTGTCAGTTAGGGGAACAGTGACTTTTAGTGGGAGGCAAGGAGGATACACTTACTGTGTATTATTATAGACATGTATGGTTAGCTTTTCCTCTAAATAAGTTATATTTTACCAAGTTTTCTGTCTGTTCTAGTGTTTGCAAAAGTATTGTTATATTAATACAACATTGTTGATAAGCCATTGTGGTCTTAAAGTCAGGATCACGTTCTCTACATTCACATACTCTTCTGATTTTTTTTTTTCACTAGGTCCAAGGATTTCCATGATTTTCTGTCTCTTTGTGTGGTAAAATCCCCTGAAATGCGATCATCAGCAGCAGATTTACTGGAGGTGAGAAACCAAGATAATTTATGATCATAATATGTGTTCAAAGGAACAACATTTTTACAGAAAATGATAGAATCAGGAAATTTAACTCTTCATTCCTTGTGATGTTAATCCATTGACCCCTGAGAGTGACTAGCATCTAATTTCTCCATATAAAGCACCCCTGAATCACACATTAAGGTCACAATAATAATAAACAAATTCTCCTTGTCAGCACCTTAGGAGATGTTTAGAGAACAGTTGGAAGAATTTGCTTAAAGATGCTAGGGTGTAAAGGATTAAGTAAGCAGCACACTGTGTTAGTAATCCAGGTGAACATTCGACTTTCCTGCAGCATCCTTTTATTGTCAACTGTGTTGACAATAAACCTCTGAAAGAACTTTACAATGAAGCCAAGGCTGTTGTGATTGAAGAATTTGAAGATCTTCCTGAAGATAAAGAGGTGCTGTTTTACTATTCATTTGATTTAGTTTTGTGAATGCATTATTTATTAGGAGAGGCATATGCTCGTGGTATGCTCATTCATTAAGGGTGCAGTTCTATCTGATGATATGGATCATGATTCAACATTAAAATTGGCCAATTGAATGGCCCACTGACCCACAGACGGATGGAAAGTTGTAAAATTTGTATGAATTATTTTGTAGATTCTTTGAAAAGATATTAACTCAGCTGTGCTATTTCTTAAGACTGTACCAAAGAATAATTGGGAAATGTTTTCGCTCGTTTTGTTTTGTGTCTTAGTTTGCTTGATAATTTTGTGACCAATTAACTTATTTAAATTCACTCTTTGGTCACGATTTTTCTGCACTTAGAAGAGAGATAAAGAAGCCCTGAAGTCAGCAGAATCGACTGAGTCTTTGGACGAAAGTGAAGAATTGTTTATCGAAACAGGTTCAAAGGACTTGGATAAGGAGAAAGACGAGAGAGAGGAGAGTGAGCTGGAAGAATCTACAGAGAAGGAAAAAGATTCTGAGAAAGAGGCTGGAACAGAGGAAGGTGATGAAGATCTCAAGGAAAATGCAGAGGTGAAGAAAGAAGAAAGAGACGAAAATTTATTAGAGAAAGAGGAGGAAATTGCAGATAAAGGGGAAACGAAGGAAGAACAAAAGTCAGAAGGAGAAAGTAATAAAGAAGAGGGACCCTTGGAAAACCAAGCGGATGCGGTGGAAGAAAATATAGAAGTTTTCGATGACAAGGAGGTGAAAGAGGAAAAGGAGAAAGAGAACCTTGAAGAAAAGGAGGAGGAAGTTGAGGTGAAGATAGAGGAAGCTGGAGAGAGGAAGGATGAAGGCGAAACGGAAAGTCACGGATCTGAAGAAAAGAGGGAAGAAGGTCAAGCTGAGACGGAGGAAGCGGTTGAGAAAATCGAAGAAGATGGAGAAACGAAGGAGGAAGTTTCAGAAAGTAGAGGGGAAACAGATGAAAAGAAAGAAGAAGTTGAAGAGAAACTCGAGGAAAGAAAAGAAGAACCTGAAGTTGTAACAAAAGATGCTGAAGATAAAGCAAATGATATTGAAGCAAAAGAAGAGATGGAAGATGAAGAAGAAGTTACAACTGAGGAGTCGAAAGAGGAACCCACAGCGGACGAGGCTGATGCCGTGATAGTTGTTAAAGATAGTAATGAACCGGCAAAAGTAACACAAAAAGAAGGACAGCAACTGCCAGATAAGTACTCTACACGCTTAGACAACATCTTAGACAAGTTAGAGGAAGACGAAGGAGAGTCAGCAGGCGAAGTAGGAGAACCATCAGTTCCTCAAGACGAAGAAAAACCCGAAGAGGGTGAAAAGCAGAGGGATGAAGAAACAACGACAGCTCAGGAAGAAGAGAAATCAGATGACGCTGAGGAAACAGCCACAAAAGTGGAGGAGAAAGAAACGGAAGAAAAGAACGACGAAGACAAGGACAGTGAACAGACTGAAAACAAAACTGAATTAGAAGATGAACAGACTTTAGATGCAGATGAAAAGATTCCCATACCAAATGGCGATGTGTTAGTTCAACCCGTGAAGAACGACAAAGAACCGTCCAATCATTCTAAAGAGAAATCAGAAACTACAGATGTAAGTTAGTTGCATATAAATTTTTACAAGTCTATAGGTTTCTTTTATTGGAACGCTTTTTTTTTAAGCTTGTTGTAAAACCTTTGCAGTCGTCCTTGTAATGTCACGCAATGCTCTCAGGAGCGTTGCATGACATCCGGAAGATGGTCTGTAGAGGAGTCTCGTTGTGTGTTCTTTTGCTTACTAGGATTAGATCCAGGGATAGAGATATCTTACTCAGGCTGTTTCCCCGAGTCGCGCCTTTAAAGTATGAATTACCGTATTTTTAATGGCAGGGGGGGTTAGCTTCCGTTGAATTTTTAATTATTACAATTTAGGGCGTGGAGGAGAAAAGTTTCAAAACATTAAAAAGGATTCGTAAGTATGAAAAAGATGGCAAGATAGTGACGGAGACGACATCACGAGTTGTAGATGTGAGTCAGGATGACTACAGGAATGCACTGATGAAAGAACAGCAACAAAGGTACTACTGTAAGCCGGCAAAGTGAAAAACATGAACATTCTAAAACAAGTGTTACTGATAGTTAAAGATTTGCCGCAAATTTCGCGAGGAGTACTCGTGATGGATATACCCAAGGAAGCTTAAACTTCAAGGAAGCTTAGCATATATTTTTTTTTGCTAGCCAGTTTGTAATCTGTTTCTGGGAACTCGTAGACAAGGTGACATGGTGGGCTGGTTTGTAGGGAAATTGACTTGTGGGCGAATTGATGTAGAGGGAGTTTACTTTAAGGCGAGCTGATCGTAGGCGAGACTACTTGAGGGCGAGTTTTCTTGAAGGCGAGAACTACTAATGTTTCTTTAATGTCTTTTCCTAGAAAAGTGAATCTTCGTGAAATGAAGATCCTCCAACGCGAGGAACAGAAACAAGGAATTCTACTCATGGCCAAAATTCGCCGTCAGTGGGAAGCTCAGGAACAACGATTTGAACAGGAGCTGCAGGTGCCATATGACTGATCCTTTAGATGATAGAACTGCTACGATTGGTCAATCTTAATTAATACGTTTTCCACACACGTAATGTTTTCTTTGTTGAGAGCAAGAGATTACTTTTTTTGGGGAGCATTCCAGATTTACCAGAATTTCTCGTCTTTGTAGGAATTGGTAAAGAAATTTGAGGTAGATTTGGACACTTCAAGCAGGAATCAAAAGAAAGACATAGAAAAACTAGAAATTGCGCAGAATGCTGACCTTCGCACTTCCTCACGCAAGATGAAACAAGACCAGGTAACTTTTGGGATTCATTCTTTTAGCTCTTGTGTTTCAATCACAAAACTGTGTAAATTCTCTGACCTTCTGATGTCTGTTCAGCATCTGTGATCGCTGTAGGAAGAAAGTCTCCTTCAGTTTTAGGTTGAGAAGTTGAAGTCTTCTCTCAAGCTTTTCAGTTGAGACTTGGTAACTCCTGGGAGTAGTCATCGCTAGATTTTTCCGCGCCTATAAGGGAAGGAAAGGAAAGGGAACGCGGCGACTGATTTCCGTCTTGTGGCACGATCTCTCCCGCTTTTTGCCGTCTTTTACTTTTATGCATTAATTTTTTTTTCCTTATCCGGTGTATCAATATTAAATTTTTTGCCTATTGCGAGCTTAACGACCGGCAACTAAAGCCAGCATTCGACTTCAATAAGCCGGCACTGCGATCGTTACCAATGCTTTATCAACCGTTTCAACATGGTGCGATAGTGGTTGAAAAGTTGATCGATCAAATCAACCAGAAACTGTTCTCTTCTTCAAGAGAACACGGAAGCCCCGGACATCCTGGCAGTTGATCTAAGAAAACTCGACCTTAGTCCGAACCCCTTATGAAGCGTCACACAACTATGAAAACCTTAAACGTGTATCGTGACAATTGAGAAGCGACGAGCGGTTACACCTATGTCTCGCATTCACTGTTTTCTTATTTTCAGGAAAAAGAGCTCAAGAAATTCAGAGAGAATCTCAAAGAGGAACTCAAATTTGCCAAGAAAGAGGTTTGAAAACTGAACTAGTCTTTTATTGAGTCGTGGAAGGGAAAGGAACATCTTGAAATAACTGTTATGATAAAGATTTCGAATGTTGTTTCTCATTTATGACTGTTTTAAAAAACACTCATAAATGAGAAACAAAAGTGGGTTTTTTGTACTCTATATACTGAAGAAATAGTTACCATGGTAGCAAACCTGTTGTTTCTGTAGGAAAGACTCTCTTTGGTCAATTGTGTCGCGCTTTTTTGCAGCCTAGGTTTGAAGAAATGTCTTGGTTATATAGATGGTTATTCCCTTTATTTCATGATTCTGTTTAAGGTGGATCAACTGCCAAGGAATTTAAGGAAGGAGAGTTGGCGAAAGAAGAGAGATGAAGTAGAAGTCTCACAGCGGCAAGCTGTAAGTACGACACTTACTAATGAAATTCAATGGACTTAAATACAGTATTAATAGAAAATTTTCCTTTGTAAAAATTGTCCAGAGTTTCTCTCCCACAGTTGCCAGTTTCAATAGCTGTCAACTATCTTTTTCAAATTAAGGATATCATTCTAAAATGTTCTTCAAGAATTTTTAATTCGCACCCTAAGATTATATTTTCGTTTTGAAAATGATAAAGATTTCAGCCAGCTATTGACTCTGGCAGCTATAGGAAAGAAACTGGGTTGTGTTAGAAGAACAATTTGGCATTAAGCAGTAAGTAAACTTTAGAAGAATTCTCAACTTATTTGATATTGAGATTAATCCTATAGTTTCCATTTGGGTAAGGGGTAGCGATGCAAGTCCTTGCATAAAGCAGCATTATTCCAGGGTTAGGGAGGTAACGCGTGACAGTTGTGATGGTTGTGTTTTCTCTCTTTCCTCCAATCGTCGCTAATTGTAATCATTCTGTCTTTAGGAACACGAATTTCTAGCCATGCAACAGGCGGAGTTTGAGAGATTCACGAAAGAGCTGGTTGAATTACATCGTGAGAAGATGTACGCCATGGAAATGCAATTCCTAAAGGCGAAACACACCCTCAAGAGAGGTACATTTCTTGTCTTTTTTTAAGCGTCATTAGAGCACAACTCGTTCGTCAGTTTCAAATGCGATCATGATCCCTTCTTAAATGTGTTTCTAGTTCTGACTCTTGTTCCGATTGTTCCATGACTCGTTAATAAATTTGTTCTGTCACTTGTGCTGTAACCTACGCGTTGCTGTTCATGCTTAACCAAAACTTTGTTGTTGTTGTTGTTGTTGTTGTTGTTGTTTTATGTAGAAGGAGAAACCTTTATTTGTTAGACATTTTCTATTAATTGTGGAGAACTCTCCAAGTTCTGAAGCAAACAAATACTCTTAATTTTTTGAGGGTACGATCAATTTCTGTATTGAGGCCCTGTGAATTAAGCATTGGGGATCATGTTGATTTGTTTGCAGATCACGAGGGAGATTCGTGGAAGATTGAGCAGCGACAACTGCAGGACAGACATCAGTTGGCCAGAACACAACTGAAGGAGACTTTCTTCCTACAGCGATCACAGATGCTGAACAGACATCAGAAGGTCAGAGAATTTACACAGTTTTGTAATTCGAGTTTTCCTCTTGTAAATGGTGTAGAACAATGCTTCGAAGGATATCTTTTGTTTATAGCGTTCAGTGTAAAATGCTATAGGAATGGTATTATAAGGGGGCCCAGTCATTTTCATCAACCCGAGCTATGACCACCAACGAACCAATCAGAACGAACTAACGTTACCAACTGATCAAAACAACTTACAACTAACTGACACTACCCAAGTCTTACAGCTGGTAACATCACAGCGAAAATGACCAATCAACTTGACTCTGATGATGACTTTCACTTGGGCTGTCGAAAGGTCAGTCCCTCTCACCGACAACAGCTCTTTTTTAGTTACTCACGCCAGGAGTATCAGACTATCCGGTCAACTACTGTGCCTGGTTTGAAAACAGTTACTGTATGTATGATCTTTCGGAATTTATTGCAGGAAGTGGAGCAACACAATCGTCTAACCAAACTTAAGGAAGAGGAAATGAAGAGACGTCATGAGATCGAACGGAAACGGCTTCCCAAGATACAACGGGAAGAAATCAAGTCTAAGACACAGCAGTACCGCAAGTCTTTGAGGATAGACAAGAGATATTCAATGGATATTGAGCGAGAATTAATGAAAGAGGTACCATGATCAGTCATTGTTAAAAGACTGACATCATTTCAGTTATTTACAGATAATGTCACGTGATCTTATTGAAATGACGGCTTCTTATTCACAATAGGAAACAAAGGAAAAGCGGTGGAATTAGTTATTTTTTTTCTCTTCCCTTTTTTCAGTTTGAATTGCAGGAACGTAAAAAGGCTCGATCAGAGTATGATAAATTGTTATTCCGACAAGAAATGGAGGTAGAGGAGCTGCGCGTCTCCTCTGAATCTGCTCTCAAAGAGTTGCAACTGTTACAGGTGAGCTGTTTGTCACCTTCTATGTTATCTTGCTCACGAAAAGTGAACACGAACTGGTAGGCGGTATCACTTCTTCGAAAGGAAAGCAATTATCCTGGAAATTCTTCCCTGTGAAGAACAAATTTAGCATGTGTAGATGGGTTTTTATGGGTAGTTATCACGGAGAAAGTTGTGAAACATTGAATGGAAATTGTTTTCCAGTATTGATTGGTATTCTTTTCCGATATTTTTTTAAGCGCAAAAAATTTTCTTTACGGATGCAGTTGAATAATGGAAGATTTGTTAAATATTTAAGGATGAAGACTAGCGATACGAATACATCTTGTTTCGATGATTACATGGATTTTTCAATAATATCGTTGCAGAGGAGTTTTTTTTTTCTTGTGTCGCTCAAGTTTATTTTTAATTTGATTTGCAAGGAGCACCTAATGGTGTAAATGCGGCTTAAGGACAAAAATTAACTCTCACATGGCATACAAATTTAGGACGCTTTTCGATTCAATGTCTTAAAACCAATTTGCAAATCAATGGTGCTGAGAGCTGTGCATGTTATTTTCTCCTATAGAAAAAGGTAACAGGATAACGTATGATGAACTGTTGATTGCTCATAACACTGCAGATGGTCATTAGGAGTAATTTTAATCTGACTGTTTGAAGTAATTCAGGATTGCATACTTCATATGACTAGTCGCGCCAATGTTGACTTGTAGGATACAAAATCTGCGTCTCCAACGGTTTGTTTATTTTCATTTTGGGTTCTCCTTGGTTTGTTATCCCCGAATCTTTTTTATTGATTAGCCTTGGCATTACTTTGGTTTTGGTTGCTGCACATTTAATCTTAATGCTTTTCAGTCCTTCTGGGCCAGGGTGGAAACGGTAAACAAGTAATAGAAACTGATTTAAGATTAAAAAGGGATTTCGTATGATTGATTGGTTTTGCAGAATGAGAAGCGTCACATGTTAATGGAAAGCGAAACTATGAAGTTAAAAGAACGAGACGAAAAGCATCAAACCCAGTTAGAATCCTGGAAAGCTGAACTTGGTCCACGAAAGAAGGTAAGGCGTTCCTAAGTCATTCTGGCAGTATACACTTGGCAAATTATAGAAAACGGGGTACTCTTTAAGTGTTTATGGTGAATTTTTAAGAGACAGGGACGATTTGGTTTGAAAAAATATTTCACTTTGGACGTCAGGTTTCTCTGAGTTTTAAAGAGAAGTACGTAACCTTATGAAATTTTGCTGTGTTCATCTTCGAGTATTTTCTGAGAAAGCTTTTCCTGGCTCTTATTAAGGTGGATTTTTGTTCAGTCCTACAATTGACACAATATTTTTTCGTTTTCTTTCACCAGATTCTCGAAGAGGAATTCGCGCGCGAGGAACGTGAACAGCAACTTTTTTATGCCGGAAATATAAGCGATTACCCAATCTCCCCGGTAACGTCGAATAAGGAATCAGAAGAGGAGCCTGGGGAGATCCAAATGGATGGAGAGAAAACGCCAGAGGACAATCTTTCTAGTAAATCATCATCCGGATCTACTTAGTTCAATGTTGTCTCTATAGTTTCTGTACAGTTATTGTTCAGTGTAATAGTGTTTTTATTGTTTAAAAGGTAGATACGCACGTTATATTTGTGACATGTGTTAGACAATTCCCTGCTGAAAAAAAAAATGTACTCGGGATTAATAATTTACCAGACAGGAAACCGAAATAGTTCAATTGAACGTTTGGTTGGGTGATAGTCATTCGTTTATGAATCTCGGAAGTCGGGAAATTAGCTTAGATACGAAAACAGCGATTTAAAACTGAGCAGTGATTGACTCTTGTTGATATTAAGTTGTCGCCTAGAGGGCTTTTTCCAAAGAGGATACTGAAGATCTCGACAGTTTTATAGCGCGCTCTGGGTTCTTATATTAAAAATTGGAAATATTGTCCTTGATGTTAAGTTTAACCAGTCGGCCAGTCGTGCAGACACTTGTCACAACAGTCGAATGGCAAGGGTAGTACTGAGCCAATCAGAATTCTTGAGACATTCCACTTGTCCACACTTGTGCAAAACGTTGCAATTACGATTCTTGAAGGTTTTACTTTTCGTGGAATGTGGGTGAGAACTTGAACGAGTTACCATAAAAACTTATCTGAAACTGAAGAACCAGTTTCTAAAATGTGTGTTTACTTAACATTTATATGATGCGACAGATCGTGCCTCTTTGGATGCAATTGATAGATTTGAGTCAAACGTTCGTGTCTTCGCAAAAATTATCGGTTTGACATGCATTCTTTTTTTTCCAAGTGGAAATGACAGGTGATGTGCCTAGGTACCATTGCAAACTTTTCGGAGACTGGTCCTCCAAACACTGAAATGATTCTTGTAGACTGAATTGAAAAATGTAGCCTTTTTAAATTTATCAATAGTTTAAAACGCGAAAGGAATATCTCTTTTGATAAGTTTTACCCTCCGCTACTTTTATTTCATGTGTGTTGTGTTATTATCATTCATTGGATTTGTCTTTTGCTCAAATATATTCTTTGGTTTTTCTTCCTTTTAATGTGCTGTAACGTGCAAACCTTTTTTTTAAGGTCAAACAAGTCTGGTCGTATACATTTTGAGAACATTTGTAAGGCTTATAAATATATTCTCTTGACAGAATTGGCTTTTATGAGATGCTTTTCTTTAAGTGAGTCTTATCTTGGTTTAGTCCAGTATTTGCTCTTTGAAACGTTATAATTCCCGTAGTAATGTCGCTGATAGTATTAGGTTCTTTATGTTCTTCATCGAATCGATGATAACTTCATTTCTTTAAGGGAATCATGTTTGGCTCGATGGCAGACTTCTTTTCTTGTTATTCATAACTTCACGGCCTGTGAAATTTTGCCATGCATTTCCTGTTTAGTTTGACCTTTTCAGACATCAGTCCAAGCACATCTCCCTCTTCAGTCTTAAGAATCCTTACTGCGATACTCGTAATGGCCTCTTGTAACATGTGGCCATCTCCCACGAAAGAGGTGTCGTAAAACGATCTTTGCTTTCTATGAATATCTTAATTTCGAAATGCTGTCTATTTATGAGTGCAGTCCCCTTTAATTATAGTTTTTCCTACGTAATTTAGGTTGCATAAACCATAGCTAAAAATTTGTTAAAGTAATCCCCTCTAGCAGAGCTGTGCTCGCTTAGATTTTCAAATTTTATGGGAAATTAAGAAAACAAGATAAATATTTGAAATAGTCGAATAAAAATTGTAATTATGATCTGCTCGTTGTAGTCTTTTTTATTACTGTAGATTTTAGAACGGCTGAGTTAGTCCTCAATTCAATTCAATTCAATTCAATTTTATTTGTTAGCAATACAATATTATCACAGTCCTAGGTGACCCGCAATTAGCAAGCTATTCTAGGCGGGCCACCCTTCTAAAACAAGTGCTGTCTCTGCTAAGGATCACATACCGATACAATTAAACAAAGATAATCATTAATAAAAATACAATTGTTAAATAAAATAAAATAAAATTAAGTCCGTTGAATAATTAAATAATCAATTGCAAAGTTATCAAGATATATAATACAATTGAAACAAGACTTAAACGAAGAGTTACTTTATCAAGAGATATTTACAAATTTCAGAGCAGCGTATATCAACATTCATCTCCTCAATTTCCAAAAGTTTTAACAGGCGATTTTTAAGTTCACGCTTAAACGGGGTTCTGTTTTTAATACGAAGTTCTTTTGGGATGCTATTCCACAATCTTACACCTATTCTAGCAAAAGAAAATAAAAGTTGGTTAGTTCTAGACGCTTTAACGTACAGATTAGCCGTTGCTGAGAATCTTGTGAAATGGTGATGAACCTGCTCGGAGTGGATAAAGAGCATAGAAATATTAGACGGGGCACGGTGATTATCAATGTCATGCATCAAAGAGGAAACCAAATGAGAATAGAGCATAGTTATTGGTAAGATTCTGGAGTTAACAAATAGCGGGGCACTATGAGATTTGCTATCCGCAAAATACATTAGTCGTTAGTCCTTGCACTGCCATGTTGGTAGGAAGGTTTGCGAAAATGAAGGAAAGTTGGTGAGGGTCTCAGTATTTGAGGACGATATAAGAATGCTTTACACAGTGTAGGTTATTAATTTCGCATTGCATGGAGGGATTTCTTACGAGAACGAGATAGACTGGGGTCAACGAGTCACAAATGGCGGGCAAACCGTCGAACGACGCTAACCTGTTAGGAATCACCTCGGAATGGTTCCTAGATTATTGTATTTATCAGCTTTGGAAGGAATTCAAAGAAAAACACTCATTTTCTGGCTTCTGGAGAAACGCTCTACAGGGTAAGTTTTTTCAAGAATTCAGTGCAGAATTCCTTCATCGAAGGTAACTTTACCTTGTTGGTAAACTTAAATTTTGTCTCTGTTTACAAACTGACACGTGCTTACTTTGTACAGATTACTTGTTAAGTGGTCGACACTCTGAAGTAAGGAAAGAACTCTCAGATAAGCTCAATTGCATCAGATTTATTATTGGATTGTGGGAGTGTCAAGAAGATGATGTTGGTGGAAGTCAGGAAAGTTCCCCTTCTGACGATGAAGGTCACTGTGAACAAATCGAAAAAGGGATGCTGGGACCGGAATGTCTGAAATTCTTCGAAAAAGTAACGTGCATCTTTCCGTTTTCTCAGGCTGAGCGGTCTCATATGAAAAGCAGTTTAAAGTTACAGGTAATGATTTTGTATCGTAGTTGAGCCACGATTAAATATCACTCGCGAAACAGGCTGCTCCTAGCTGAAAAGGTTGATGACGGCAGGTATCAGCCTAAGCTGATACCTACCGGCAGCTCGACCCTAATACCTAATGTCACGAGAATAAAGGAAATGACCACCAACTAAAGAAGCTCTTGATTATTAAAAAAATTACCTTTGTCAGCTCCTTAGGAAATGTTTAGAGGACAGTATGGAAAATAAGCCTTCTGATGTTAGAGTGTATTAGAGATCCACAGTTCATTGATTTGCCAGCTTTGACATCTATCAAACTCAGAATGGTCAAGATAGTGGAGTGTTTATGAGCTTGAACCCTGCCTGTTTATCACTGAAATGTTTACAGCTTATTAGCATCATCTGTGAGCTAACTTACAACAAATGAAACTTTTAATTCAGAACCACCTTAATTTTTTGATAATTTTTTGGTACCTCTCAATGTTATGAAAATATTTTTTATCATTTTCCATATAAATGAAAGTGGAAAAAGAATAGGGGTCACTAAAATTTTTCTTTTAGCTACAGGGACCCAATAGGTTTTTATTAAGTATTCATGCACTGCTAAGGAATCTAGCTCTAAAACACTACACTGCCTAGCTGAACAAGTGCTAACACTCAATTGCTTTTTATTCTGTGGCTACTATTACAAACAAACTAATGGCATAGCCATGGGTACCAAAATGGGACCTAGATACATCAATCTTTTCATAAATTTATCAAACACCAATTTTTCAGTCATTACAATAGCCCTAAAGTTTCTCAGACTTCGTTGTCTGTGTAGTGACAACTCTGATTTTTCTGAAAAATTTTTCCCCTTTTATTCATTTGTAACTAAAAATTACAAAACTTTTTTGAGCCATCCAACAGTAAGCTTCAGCCACTTGCCCATGTTGCCTTCTCTGCTTTAAAGTAATTTGGTACTTCACAGGAATTTTGACAGAGTTCATCAATTAATTGATTAATGATTGATTAAAACTTATCTCTTTTCCTCACAGATCATCCTATCATGTTACAGATGTGGTGACATTCAAAATGCTGAAAACTTGTTTTCTAGATTGTACAGTGAGAATGGTTATGATGAAGTAAGTTACATGTAATTATTGCTACATTTTACCATTTACTGGATATACTACTCAATTTACTGTAGAAAAGTACAAGGCTAAACTATTCATCCAAGAAAAGTCTAACAGCCAAGGACATATTCACAAATCCCCTTCTTTGTGTTCAAAGTATATTCTAGTAAAAAAATCTGTCAATAGTAGTTGAGAGAGTGCTTTTCCCATTTGTTGTAAGGGAATTTATGGGATCAATTATAGTAGGTTTATCTCAGTCAAATGGTGTGTTTTGTCGTCATTTGTATATGTTTTTCTGTTGAAAGGTTGGCGTTCACACACATAGTTTTTTGTTTGAAGCCTTGTTTCTCACCAATAATTGTGATAGTTCCTTTTTGAATTACTAAGTGGTGTTTCTCTTTGAGCTCCTGAAATAGTTGGCTGATGGGTTGATTAAGCAAGTTGGAAACATGGGGTTGAAATCAATTATATAGGCAGACACTGTTTTCGGAAATGAAAGTGTTTATATCTAACATACTTGGTGCTCTGTGAATGGACGGTAGTATCCTATTTAGCACAAATTGGGCCGATATGTCTTGGACAAGTTTGAAAAAGTTCGAGTGATGTTTGTTACAGTCCAACAAAATTTGAGCAACAAATTAACTTATGGGAAATTGATCCTAAAAGCACTCCCTTAACTATTGTCAGTTTTTTATGAAAATCTTATGTTGTATTTTTTATTGTCCCATTTAAAATCTGCCATCTCCGTAAAGACTATATAGAAGCTATGTTTAGTACATGATTTACAATACAGAGTTTTGTCTGATACTGTGGCAATAATTTTTTTGAGATATTGCTGTTAAATTTTTATTAATATAGACCCAGCCAAAGGTATGATTGATTTCTTTTTAACAGGAGTATCAAGATGACCTCAGGGAGTTATTTCAATCTGAAAATGATACGTTCATAGAAACATTTTTGGGAAAGCACACGTATGAAAAATTTCTCAACCAAGTTCAGAAGTTTTTTACCCCAGCATGGAAAAAGTTTGAAATTCCAGTTTTAGAAGAGGTAAAAAAATTAACTCCTATATCTTATACATTTTGCTGTACCTAGTTGTAAGGAATCAAGGATATGAATCCTGAAAAAAATCCAGATTTTTCTTGAGTACAGAATTCATCTTTTTGGGAGAACCCCTGACAACTGCTATTCTGCTCAGGCTATATCATTTTGAGTGCAACCTTGAGTGGAAAATGAAAATGATGGTCTTAACTTTTGCACACTGATGTGTGTTTATGAATCCTGTGTGAAGCATTATTGCTAAGTGACCCTCCATCACCTTAAATATTTAGAACAATACTGTAGTGTACCAATGTTAAGCTTAGTTTTCTCTTTTCCCCTTTATAAGTGAATAGTATCATTATAGTAAGTTTTACTTTCAATTCTTGCTTATTTTAGGCACCTTTGCTGGAGAATGCAACCAAAGAAAGGTATGTCCTCCCATTTTAGGCCTTGGGCTTTGCTCTTTCACAGAGAGAAATCTCTGCAGACAAATATGAACTGAAGTATATGTTTTAGGCCAAATGGAAGCAATTTTTAGGTATACATGTAGAGGTTATGCCATGCCTTCCATAAGTAGTTTCTAAACCTGAATGAAGAGATAATTATCATATTTTGAATTTGGGTTTTTCATAACACTTGGAAATTATTATAAATTCCTAGGTTTTTGTCATGTACCTCATCCTTTGGCTTTAGCAGTTAACATGAATTCAGACCTTGGTTATTCTTACTGTTTTGCTTAACCTTATCCAGTTAAAATTATTTTGTTCAGTGATGATAAGAATATGCCAGTTGTGGTTGTCTCCATTTGATTTCATCTCAATTACTTGGCTTGATAAAGTTAATATGGTTGATCACTCTCTCCCTGAGGCTTATATAATACTTTCTGAATACATGGAAGGTCAGTTTTAACTAACAGGTCAAGGGGTGGGTAATTGTGAAGAAGAGCTCCCCAAAAAACCTGTCGGCCGTCTGTCGGCCGACTGTCGACCGACAGTCAGCCGACAGGTTAAGAAAAAAGAAAAAATTGTGTTAAAAACGAACAGTTAACGTGACATAACAATCCGTAATGGTGATGTATGACTCGACAGACTTCACCTACTTACCGATCGACGGCAAAGTTGGTAGTATGTAAAGAAACGTTTCTTCCAAAATGTTATCAGATTCGTATAGGATATATCACTTGCGTAATTTACAACACACCAGACAATCTAAGAATCGCATGGGAAGATAATTTAATCGACAGTCTACCGACAGGTTAAGAAAAAAGAAAAAATTGTGTTAAAAACGAACAGTTAACGTGACATAACAATCCGTAATGGTGATGTATGACTGTATGCCAATGAAGTTCGTGGCACGATTTTACGAGTGAAATATCTTGTATATTTCACCACGCACATAACGGCTCCTTTAGGAGCCACCAAATCTTGAAAGTCAATTGTCAACATATTAAACATGTTGGATGTTGTATCAAGCGAGGCACGATTCTACGAGTGAAATATCTTGTATATTTCACCACTCACAAAACGGCTCCTTTAGGAGCCACCAAATCTTGAAAGTCAATTGTCAATGTATTAAACATGTTGGATGTCGTTTTCAAGCGAAAACCGAGAGAAAACATTAAGGTTTGTGTTAACGTTTCACGGACAAGCTACCGACAAGCTACCGACAGGTTACCGACACATTACCAACAGTCGGCCGACTGTCGGCCGACAGGTAGCCTATATTTCAGGCAAAACCTGTCGGCCGTCTGTCGGCCGACAGGTTTTTTGGGGAGCTCTTCTTCACAATTACCAAGGGGTGAATAATAAATAGTAAGGAGATCACTAAACACAATGAAAATACACTGAATGATATAGAATAAGAAATATGGTTAATTCAAGCTCTGCTTAGCTGTCGAAAAACGATAGTTATCATTTGTCTGTGACCAGCATAGGGAAAAAATTCCATATCTTTCTTACAGGAAACCTTCATTCTTGATGCAAATGTTGCTCAAAAGGCTCTAAATATATTAAATATGCATGGATTCATGCAATTGGAAGGATATGTCTCCCAAAAGAATCATGTCTGTGTTCCAAACATTTTGAGGACCATTGCTTCCATGAATCATACCTAATGGAAGAATGGATAGCTTTGTTTACAATAGAATGACTGGATACATATTTGATAACAGAAGCCCAGCAACTATCACATGTCATTATTTCAGAGTGCCTTAGGCACCTAATAAGATGGTGGATGTGGAAAGTTCAAACTTGCTGTGAAGTGTGGTTTTGAAGGCTGAAAAAATTTTACTAGTTTAGAGGAATAATTTTTAAGAACCAAATATCTTGTATTTGATACATTTATAGCCTTTTGAGTTAAATGTTTGCTGTAAGAGTGGAGGTTCCCTTTAATGCCCATACACTCTTGTGACATTGATGGCCCCAGCAGTATGCAAGAAGCTTGTTGTACATAATCATGTATATTTCTTAGCTTGCCAAAGATTTTTCTTTTGTTCAGTGGCAGAACAATAGACCACAAAAGCAGCAAGTCAGGGGCTTAATTCATCATGGTGTACTCAGATTTTTTTTGTGTAGAACAAAAAAAGTGAATGCTAATTGTCTTAGGTTATTAATCTGTGTTATAAGTGTAAGAATTGAATTTACTCTTATAGGCCTGGGATTGATGCAAAAACAATAAAAGCCCTTTACTTTGCTTGGGATACATCAGATGAAGTTGAAGAAAACTGGAAAAGTATTGTGGAAGGAACCCATCCTGATATTAGCATTTTGAAGAAAAAAATTGGTAGAGGAAAGATAAAAACAACATCTCCAATTTTACCTCAACAAGGGGTATGATAATGGCATTTTTTTAGACCAATGACATGTTAACTGTTAGATAATGCAAGTGAGAAACCCATGTTCCATTGTTTGAGACCAGAATACCATAATGATTGCTTTTATCTACCTGTGACATGTACAACAAAGGGATCTCAAACTCCAAAGTTTCCCCTGGGTTCTCATGTGGTTATGTTATATGTGTTTATTTTTGCTTCTTCTTTAAGAAATTTGATAGTGTTTGAAACTAAGTCAATGTAATGCCCCCCTTATCTTCAAAACAAATAACACAGAGTCAGTTTTGTATGTCCTGGGAAAGTAGAAATGCAATCAATACATAATTTTCTCAAATACAGCATGTTTTAAAAGTTAATTGTCTCTCAGCATGAAGAGTGAACCATTTGAGAAAAAATTGTCAAAATCTGCTGAGTTACAAAACTATAGAGTTGATGTCACCTATAACCTTGTTTTTGTCTAGTGTTCTTCCGTTTAAATTCAGAATATGCAGATATGAAAGTTACTGAGTTGAGCTTAAACATAAACAAAATATCTGGGTGGGTGTGGGGGGTGTTGGGGGCGGTGTGTGGGAAGGATGGGTTCCTAGCTCTTGAACTGACTTTATCTACTCTACCCCTTTACCTATGTGACAGGGGAAAGCATTCTTCAACAAATCTAGGGTATTCTTTCTTCCCAAAGGTTACAAAAAGCAATGCAGAAGCAAGTAGCACAACTGCAGGGAGTAGTATGGTACACAGGATTCAGCAATGTCAAGTAGTAATCAATAATTTGAAACAATCATCTAAAAACCTTTTGTAAGTGCTTCAAGCTTTCTTCTTTGTTAAATTCCTATTTTTTGGTAATAACCTTTACCACACATTTGAATGTGGAGAGTTGGTCTACAATTTTGCTGCAAATGAACTTTTCCTTATGGAAAAATGTGGCAAGCATATTTTGTGGGGTATTGCAATGTTTTAACTTTGGACTTTTGTGTACCTCTAAGATTTGTAGGTTGAAAAATATATTCTTCAGAAAATATTGACAATTCTTATTAGATCCTAAAGTATACTTTAGCTTCTTGCTGCTACATATTAAAGAGTAAGCCTTCTGCTGCCTGATTGTCAAGGATTGGGCATGTTTTTGTTGAAAAACCTCAAGCTTTTGAAAAATCTATTAGAGTATTTCATGTATCTTCACTAACACCCTCCCCTTGCCAAAGTTTTCGGTATGATTGGATTTAGACATATATTTTTCATTGCATTTTACAAGAGGTTTACAAATGATGTGTGAAAATGGAAGGGATGAAAATTAAGTTTTTATTCAGGCTCATTCTTTTTGTACCAAAGTCAATCATCAAGTACTTATGTTACTATAGCTGAGATTCTGCTGAAATTTGTTTGGTTGATTTTACTTCAAGGCTATGTTGTGCCTTATTTTTCAAAACATTTGAGTGGGTCATGAGGTCTTACCTTCTGCCTTGATGGGTGACAAAATGTTCATAGATTACTACAGTTTTGTTTTCAACAATTTTATTTTCTATTTCAATGACTTTAGCTCTGGAGTAAGTAAACAGCACTCTTATAATGTGGCAGCAAAAGCTGGGCCAAGCAGAGTTATCGATGACAAAAACAATGACAAGAATGATGATGATGGGGAGAGTGAGAGGCATTGCAAGACCATTGTTGCTCTACCAGTCAGGTAGAAAGGATTTTCTCTAGCAGTGTTATTAGCCTTCATTTGCTTAAAGTAGAGATGTTTGTTGATTACCATTGTTAACAAAGTTTTAAGATACCTCCCTTTTGGGAGTTTTATTTTTAAAAGAGCTTGGTTACATTTTGTACAAACATTTTCCACAAGTGGTTTGATAAAAGAAATCAAAGTTCTGTAGTTTCATTGCTCCAAAATCTAAGGATTGACAGGAATTTTCATTTTAAGTATAGTAACAATGCTGGTAAGCATCATAGCTAAAATTGGTAATGAATCTATTTGTTCTGGTACTGAATATGGAATTTCCTAAAATGTTACAAATGAGCTGAAGGTTAGAAGAAGTAAAAAGGCACTAAGCTTACAAAAAGGCCACCTCTCGGATCTGGCATACATCTCTAACATTAAGCTTTCCTTTTCTATGAATATTTTGATAACTCTATGACAAATATGGTGAAGAGGGAGAATAGGGTTTATTGAAATGTTCTTCCAATTAACAAGTTTGCAGAGAGCTCAGTATTACAGGGATTGATTTTTTAAATAAGTACTTTGATTTGAGTATTTGATAGCTTGTTTTCGAGCAAAGGGCATCCTCTTATGAGTTATGGCCCTTAGGGACTTGGATTTATCTGGGAGTGAGGATTTGATGTGGTTTGATCAATGAAGACTCTGAATATTTAAATTGTTAATTCATGAATAATAATGATATTATTTTGTCATTGTTGACCCAGCATATCTAGCCCTAGTGGAAGTAATCAAAACAAAAGAGAGAGGAAATCTTTAGAAAAACGGACAATAAAGAGAAGGTATAATGAAAATCATAGTGATGCTGAAGAAATAGATTGGGCCTCAGACGACGAGGAAACAGTGTTTAAGCACAAATCAATTAGTAAGTCTTATAGCTGGGTATATCACTCTGAACAATTTAAAGTGTTCTAGCTAGATTAGTTTGATGAAACAGTCTTTCAAGTGATTGAAAAGGTTTTTTTATTGTGCAAAAAGTTATCACTAATAATTAAGAATTAATTCAATGAATTAATTCATTATCTATCATATTGTTCCATGGAAGGGGGCTTTTTTTCCAATCACATTTGTGGGAGGGAGGATGGGAGCAGAGTATTTTAAAACTTGACTTGAAGTGGTATATAATTGTTGTATGATCACGATTAGCTCTACTCTTTGGAGGCCTATTTTTTAAATTGCCTTTTAGGAAATTTTTACTGACCGAATCCCCTCTTGAAAAACAAAAATGATAAATCAGCATTTAAGAGTCATTATTGTAGAGATATCATCTCCTTCCATTAGCTCCTACCTTGATTCAGTATAATGGTTCTTAAAATTAAAACAGAAATGAAATTTTTTATACCAACTGGGTCACTGCATCAGTCAATCAGAATATCATTCTGTGATACATATAAATCTGTGAAGTGTAGGGTAACTTTTGATGTCAATCACGGAGGGTTAATGTAAGGGAGAAATAACCTTTAAAACTAAGGGGAGATTTTTATCTGTGATGGTGGCTGTACAGTACAAAAGGTGCTTCAAACGCTTTCAGAAACATGATCTGAGATTATTTTCTTGTGCAGCACTTCCTTCCCCGGCTAAACCACGACATCTCAATATCAAGCTCCCTGTTGGTTCAGCAAAGAAGTTTTGGAGCGCTGATGAAACAAGATGGTTAGAAGAGGGTGTGGAACTATATGGCACAGGGAACTGGGCAAAGATACTGAAAAAGTATAACTTTGTTGGGCGAACATCAGTTAATCTCAAGGATAAGTGGCGTAATTTAAAAAAGAACAGTTGATAATGAGCATGTAGATGAATGAGATGGATAGTTTAATGTTTCTGTCTGTGATGTATATAGTAATTTTTGTATATTTATGGAAATTCCTTGCCATCAATATTTCTTGAAAAAAAAGAAAGGAATCTTTATATTTATATTTTATCAGATTATTTTGTGGAACTTTTAGTATGCTAGCTAGCACAAAAATCTCCAGGCTTTTTCAAATTCATCTTTAAATAAATTTACATTTGAACCTCTCCCATATATATAATTATACCCATTTTCAAAAACATTCTCGTTTGAAAATATATTTGAAATATATATATGTATCTTTTGTTTTCTCATCAAGAAAGGTGATGAACAATGCAGGTATATTTCACATCAAGGGAACAAAATCTTTTTTGTTATAGTTTGAGAATTGCTGTGCCTACTAACATTGTCTTACACCAGTCTTTGCATGGTGCCGTCAAGTTCAGTAAGAAACCGAAATCTCAATGCAATCACAAGAATTTCAATATATGTATAATATATAGATCTAGAGAGAGTACTGTTGGTTTATTCAACACTATCTTCGCTGTTGTATGACTGCTTAATTATAGCCATAAAAGTCAAACATAACTGAAAAAGTAGGTTCTACAGTATATAATCTCAATTTATCCATATCTGGTTTACAACAGTATGCCTTAGAGTGACACTGTTTGGTGTGTACATCTGGAAGAGTTGAACAAATGCTGCTTTTCTTAAATTGTTGTTTTGTTATTATTATTGAATATGCAACAAAGCCTTTGTGAAATTTCCAAGTTAATGCGTTGTCTACTATGTTATTCACCACCAACTTATTTCAAAAGAGAAATGGTTAAAGATCACTGGTTCATAATTTATGCAATCATACAGGTATTTCACTGGAAAACTTGTCTACTTGACTACAGTTAAATTGTAGTCCCACTTTTTCACCTGCATAAATTGGATAACTTGATCTACATAATACATCTAAACAAATGGGCACTTAAAGCAAAAGAATCGTACAAAGGTGAAACAAAGTCTCTGGAAATTTTGACTATTGTACTATCCTTTTGAAAAATTGTCCCTTTAATTGATTCTGTTAACACCTTTTTTATGAGAAAATGGGTGTATATATATATATATATAATTATTATATATAATTATTATATATAATTATATATTTTTAACTATGTAATGATTTTTTGAAATCTTGATTTGAGTTTCCATCATCAAATTTCAATGAATGTGTGACAAGCAATACCTGATCAAGCATGCAGGAATTTGGTTTTGTATTTATTTTACAAGTGGCAACAAATAAGAGAGTGAATTCCTAAATGATTGACAGTTATTTAATAGTCTCTTTTTTTATATGGTTTTTCTTATTGAAATGGAAAACACTCATTAGAAAGTCTAGACATTGATGTTTTAAGGTGTAAACAGCATTTGAAGGTTGCTTGGCCTTTTCCCAAATATTTACAGAAAATTGTTTGTTTTTAGAACATAGTGGAACATTGTTAAGCTGCCATTTTCCAATTGATTTGTTGAGGTTAAGGTATGCTCAATGCAGTTGCATATGCTTTCCAGTAATAGTGAGCTCTCCTTCATAGATTTTTTTAATCCCCTCTTTCTTAGGCTGAACTGATTTTGACTGACAGCAAGTCTGATGATTTGAGATTTATAGGTAACTTGAATGAACAGGGTGGAGAGTGAACGAAACTGCCAAAATGTTGTTTATTTACATAATGAACTAGATCTCCTCAAGCTTGACTGGGGATGCTGATTTTAGTTTTGATTATATTCATCAACTACACGGAATATTAACAGAGGTTGTAATAAATTTATTGGTGATATTGTGTTCCATATGTAAAACTTTTTTATATTGAATAGAATGTTTATTTTCTTGTGCATCTTGTAACCTACTGAGGTGATATCAGTAATCATCAGTGTATAATATCTTGTTTTATCATAGTCTATTTTTTAGATTTGATTTTTTTGTTGGTAGTTTTGATAATTTTCATAATTTTCAAAAATACATAGGCTAGATGTTCTGTAGTGTGATATCTGAAGTCATTACTTGAAGGTTAAGTTATTTTCTCCTATTTTTTCCATTCTCATCTACCCACCAAACATACATGTATTTTGCACCCAATTAGCAACTTACCAATAAAAATTTTGACCAGGTTACACTAAGAGTCTCAAAGAAACCATCCCACTTCTTGGTGGTTTCAAGGTCTGCCTTCACCCTTTAACTCCCACAATCTGATTGTTAATTCTCCCCTCTAGCTGCCACACATTTTCTCATAACTTAGTTGTGAGAATTTGATATTATATCAAGATAACAACCTCTACCTGATAAGTTTAAGTATTTTTATAACCTTTTTGCTGGATAATGTATAGCTATTATAGGGAGAAGTAACATGTTAATCACTTTTGGGAGTTAAAAGAATCATTTACTCTTGGTTTCTTTGAGAGCTGGACTCTGAAATTTTAGATTGGATTAAGAAATCATATGTTTTGCTTTTATTGATTTGAAGTGTACTGTAAATGTTAGGGCTACTAGGCAAGTAGATACACTTTTTGTTCTTAATAGTGTAAGGTGTTGCTATTAGATTTTGGCAAGGTCTGAACCTTTTCCTTCCTCCCCCTTCAAAGCAAAGTTCAGCCAAGCAAGTGGCAAGGTTGCTAGTAACAGGGAAATGGTAACGAAACAAAGCCTTGTGGAGCAGTTGAACAGAAGAGTGGCAAGTTTTTGCCAGAGCAGTTTTAATGAAGTGCAAGGATTAATCTGGAATTGCTTGGAAGTCAGTTTAATTTTACTCTCTGATTGCCTGAGCAAAGGTGAACAACTGAATGTGAAAGATTTGGGGCAAAAGACCTCCCTGCCGAAGTACTCATTGGCCAATTATATGCAAGGCAATAGTCTGTCAGCTAACTTGGCTAAAATGCAATTGGCATTTTAAAAAAGACTACACATTTCATAGAGCAGTATTCAACTGGAAAAGTAAAGTCAGTTTATGTTAGTAAATGGAAATTTGAGAATGTGATAATAGGAGGTTGGCATGTGTATCCATTATAAGCAAAATTTGTCGCTATGATAGAATTTAGGTTTAATTAAGCATCTCGTGCAATGCTCACTCTTTTAACTAATAGTAAGAATTTTTCATTTTCAGCCTTTCCTTTGGAATTGATGACAATGAAAAAATGTTGAATTTCAAAGTGTTAGATATGCTTACCAAAGCAGATTCAATTCTCAGTTATAATGTTCCGCATTCCATGAGGAATGAAAGGTTATTTGCCTTCAAGGTTCCTTTGTAGACAGATCTGACAGGAGGGAATTTTAAGTTAGCTTGACGAACTTTGACTTCAAACAGGAAATGGCTTATCTCAATAAGCACTCACAGAGCTGAATTTTGGATGGGGTCCATGAATTCTATTCAAATCCTTAATTGTGGTTTGGTAGAAGTTTGTATTGTTTCTATTTTTTGGCTTTTTAATGTCAATCTTGACACCTTGAACAGCTAAAATTGTCTGTCTGGGTGAGAAAACTACACAATGGTCTTGCAAGTCTGGACATGTTAAAATGACACTAGCGACAGTTTATAATTTAAATACTGTCATGACTATGATAAAAAAATATTAAGTTACACTGGGGAGGAGAATGGACTGAAGTTGATTGATATGGAGCCATTAAAGTAAGAGAGAGTTAAAGAGAAAGAGGAGTATGAGCATGAATATTGTGCATTGATAAGAATCGACTGCACAAAATATCTCACTATTGGTTATGACTTTTTCAGATTTGGGTGGCCCTGAATAGGGCCGGTGTGTTGTCGTTGTTGTCTTGTCTGAATAATTGTGTCGCAGTCTTCTTTCTTCAGTCTTGCTGGCCTCAGTCTTTGATTTCTTGTAGTTGTGAGTTTTTAGCTATGGGTGTCCAAGCAGTCCAGTATTTTTGTCTTTGGTTCAAGATCTAGCGAAGGAGATGAATCCATTTGTTGGCACTTCACACTTCCTCTACGTGGAAATACGTCGATCAGTTCTTTCTTCTCTTCAATCAGTCTGTTGTTGAGCGAGTCTTACAAGTCCTATCCTATCTATTTTTGTTTCGTCAACTTTCCAGTTTAAAATATCCGATTTTCCTTACTTACTACTTAACATATTATCACTACTTTCTGCACCATCCTAAGGTTGAAACGTTCCAAAACCTAACGAAAATTTTTACTTTCTACCTGTGTCAAAAAGACTAAGAAAAAATTCATTTGAGTCGATCAGACATGAACAAATTACCAAAATTGAAACAAAGCAAAATGAATTTTACACGTCAATATAGCTAAGATGTTGTAAACTCGAAACTAAAACAATTTAAAAATTAGAACGTATGATAAATTTTCTCTTATTTACAAATATACAAATTTGTACAAAATCTACAAATTTGCTATGACGTCTCGGTCTTGATATATACACTAGAATAGCTTTTACTTTCGTTAACCGTCTTTGTCTTTGAGAAAGCTCACTATGACTCTACTCGAAGCAGCATTCTAAGATGTTGCGACATCGCCGCAAAATCTCCGTCGAGATTGTGGATGGGAGACGATATCCAGTGTGATGGCGGTTTGGGAAGAACACTTGGATGAGGTGGACTGCTAAATTTTGGCCCCGCATATGGAATGAGCGCCGTGTCGCTACTGTTTTCGCTTCGTCGTCGACGTGGTATGTTGACAGTAGTCGCGAGTCCTGAATCTAATACAACGGAAGCAGGCTCCTGAACTGATTTCACTTTAACGGAACGGTCGTTCCGAAATCTTGTGTTCTTCTTCGAGTTATTTTTGTGATGGATGCTGTCTTTATTCGGTGAAATGCGATCGCTTTGTGTCACTTGTGTCCCGAACGTCATCTTCACTTTATAGCTCTGTTTCCCTTACGAATCGCAATGCTGCTAATCGTCGACTTATCTCTTCTCGTAAGTTTTACTCCACTCTAAGGTCCAATCTCCTTTAACCAAACTATTCTTACGGTTTTGTGCACAGCAATAGGAAGAACGTTATGGCCTTTCCATAAAACCTTCCTTTCAATTTTACCCACTAGATTGAAATGGTATTGACGAGTGTTGAAAATTTATTCCTTCGCGGAAAGCCAATCAGCGAAATTTGGACGTCAGAATTGTCATAGCAACAGCCAATCAGAGCCCTAAAGATCTCCACACCCTGATCATGTGAAGTAGAATGACGTTAGAGAAGGAAAATCTAATTTTAGAAAAGGGACTTTTGTTTGTCTTTCGGTTTTGTTTTGTAAAGCTGGAAACTTTATCATCATCTTGCTTGGGCAATATTTAGATTGTGAGAAGAGTACAGGAAATGCTTCATGCTTTTAGAATCATTACAATCAGAGGCGACAGCCTTGGGCGATCGTAAATTAGATACTGTGCCGATGTGTTTCTGGGCACGCAAGTGTCGATTAGTCTTCAGGCTTCAAAGCCAGAAAAGTAAGAGATTGTCTGAAACTTTGTCGTGAGTGCTGTAGTACTTCCTATCAATCTCAATCTAAAATGGTTCATTTCTGTAGAATTATCAGCGTCGTTCCGCAATCTGTTTTGATTTCAAAGCCCAGAAGTTGGTTATTTCCTGAAAAGGAAGGGAGACAGGCAGATGTCACGCGCCAATCATAATCGGCCCGGAGAAACAAAGGGCTTTTCTAAATGTGCCAAAACAACCCTAATCTGGATGTATGCCTCGCTTTTTGCATTATTCATACTTTTCACTGTGAGCGCTTTCCATGTTAATTGTGATAATATTTCGTTGTGGAAAATTCTATAAAGATCGAGAATCTTCTCAGTCCTCGATCTCTACAAGTTTGCAAAACGCGGCCAAACTGTATAATTCCCTTAGAATTTGTAAATCTTTTTTTCTCCACACAATTAATCTATAATCCGAAAGCTCGAAACACGATTTTAGTAATACTTTGTTGAACCCAAAGCAAGCCTCAGTTCCATGAGCTCTTTCTCTTTGAGTCAATTTTCCGCCCCCCTTTGGACCGGAAGTGCGCTTAGAAAAACCCTTTTCCAATTCCAAAGTAGAACGCAGTAATATTGCCTTATCTTGCTGTTCATTCAAATTTTCGCACTGAACATGTTTAAAGCAGCATACCAAAGAGATAAAACAACAAAGCTTTGGCGCCTCACACGTACTCCGGACGAAGATGAATTAATCCAAAATGACGCGAAGCTAAAATTACGAAGAGAATATCAAGCAAGATTGACCTTTCCCAACCAGTTAAAGGATCAGAATGTCATAAATAATTTTTGGTCCGAATAAAGATCGTCAAGCACAACGAAAACTTGTTCGGATGTGATAGTAGCTTGTTTGCGATCGAAAGGACAATATCGAATGCAAGTGATTATGCATTCAGTGGGCTGGGGCTTCGAGAAGTGTCAAGTGACGTCACAATATGACTGACTATGATGTCAAATGTCAACAAAGACTAGGGGAGGTTTTCCATTGATCGATTTCACAAAGAACCGCAAACCCATGTGCAAGAAGTAGTTTATACTCGTAAATATAAATTCTTTTCCTCGCTTTTCCATTCCGATCTGAAACTTTTCAGGGCCAGTGATTGAAGAAGACCCGATCATTTCAGCTGGAAATCGTAAATTCAATCGTCGACCTTCGGCTGAAAACTAAGAACTGAACCTGAAGAGCAAACATTTAGGTAGGTTACACGGATGGATTTTAGGATCCTTTTGGTATGAGCCATATGTTGTTCTGTTGTTATTGCTTTCTAAAGCAATGTAGTAGAATGTCATCTCCATAAATTAAATGATATAGGTGATCTGGAATTACGTATAAATCCTTTGAAACTAACATTCCGGTTGCCTATTTCTGTTAACTTGCTACAGCGATCGATCGAATTTTGAGCGGAAATGTTTTTATTTCTGAGATTCGTTAATAGGAAACGACCCTTTGGGCCGAAACAGCTGAGAAGGATATCGCAAGATTCATTGAACTTTCTACAGAAATAGGACTGGCAACAAAAAGGTTAAAACGATTGGGGCCAAAGTTTCGGAAACATAAAAAACGGTGAAACGCATCGGCTCGAGAACCAATTCTTTGATCCTCGTGAGGAACAGCAAATTAACCGTACCCCAGTATCGAGAGGTGGGTTTGGTTCTAATCTTCAAACGTATTCGAGGAGCATCGTGATCTTGAAGAATGTTAAATGTGCTGTACTTGTTTACGTGTGAGTGAAGGCGAAAGATTGTGAATTTCCTCGGATGTTTGTTTCAAAGCTTCGACTATGTTTCTTTCCCTCCACCGGAGGGAATAAAGTCACGTTTTGACTGTATGTTTGTTCGCCCGCGAGGCAAAGCAGTAGGGTTTTGCCGTCAAGGGCGACTAGTTCAGTAGCGAATATTAGTTTCTATCTATCGATCAGCGAATAAGTTGATTGGTTATGTCTTAAGTTTGCCAAAGTTTGCTCAACTTGTACCAGCCAAGTCGTAGACTCTCCTCTAACATGGGTTGTTAATGAACAGTAGCTCAGTCACGGAACTGATGGCAAGGTAACAGCTAGTTCGTTGAAGGCGAAAAAGCTTCCTGCTCTCGGCAGTTTTGTCTTTTGCCGTTCCTATAACTGTTACCTTTAAAAGAAACACCGCTCGATCAACTCCGATCGTGCAGAGACTGAACTTCTGAACGATAAGTTTGTTACAAAATTGTTGGTGCTCAAACACGCCAATTTTGCGAAGATTTATCGAGGAAAGGCATAGGGGAGTGCTTTAGAGCAGGTATATTTTAATTTGTTTGCACTGATTCGGGAAAGTAAAAGAAGTGTAGTGATTCAAATGTTCCCCAATGAGTGAATCAACGATGTCTGGTTTTTCCAGTTCTGCCGAAGCTTTACCGAGGAAAACCATATGCAAATGTTCTGCGGTATTCCTGTGTTCAGCTGGGTCGATACAGGTACATTTCTTTGTCGCTTTCCTTGCACTTCGTAAACTTTGTTCCTCATATTATTTTTTTGATTTTTGGTTTAATAAATTTATTTCCATCAGGATCAAGATTTGCGCTAATGCATGAACTATTTTTTTAGTCCAAAAGTTTCCTTGCGGGGAGCGTTTCATGCTGTCGTCTTTCATGCATAAATTAGAGGTCAAAAGGAATTGTTTGAGATGACGTTGTGGTTTAATCATTTTTGTTCTGACAATATCGCTTATTTGAGACGTTACGCGTTTATTGTGAAGTTTTGAAGCTAAATATCCTTCCCCTGTTATTTTGGTATTCCAAAAAACGATGTTTTATGCGAATCGTTGGTTGAAGATTCGAATAGTATCGTGCGAACGCGCATTCGTCACGCCTGGTCGCAACATCGGCAAATTAGCGGCAAAATCAAAAGAAGAACGAACTCCCTCGGCAATGAGACCTGTCGGCAAATATCATAACGAAAAATTCGAATCTTATCTGTTACTATAGAAGATTGCTTGGGAGCGTCACTAAAACCCAGCTTTTTCACAAATGAGTGAGTTGAATTCATTCCTGTAGTTTGTCTGAGACGGAAAAATATGTACTAGATTTTTTTGGCCCCAGATTCTTTTAGTTTGTGGTTACATCAACCTATCACGTTTCAGTTTTTTGTCTGCGGTTCCACTTAGACAGATTACAGCCATGGGGTTTGCTCTAAGAAATGAATGCCCTTTACACTTTCCCACTCTTTATTACTTTTTTTTTGTTCTTCATAATGCTTTCTACTCTGTGATTCATCTTATATATCAAAGTGTCAGCTATGCAACTCTGACAATGCACAATTTTTCTTGTTTTTTTTTTTGTTGTTGTTGTTGTTGTTGTTGGGAAAGATTTTGGTTGTATCTTTTTTTGCAGCTCTGTAGTAAGTTTGGTGTTTGCAATTATTTTCTTTAGAATGGTACCCAAAAACATCTTGTGAATCCAGAGCTGTGGTTCTTTTCATACAATAGGTCTATATCACTATTACTCTGAAGAATCTGTGTACAACATAATTTCTTGTAATTATATGAAAGTGAGTTTTTGTGGATGTGAATCAACATAGAAGTAAAGGAAAGAGGCATCTTTGCAGCTTGCAGCATTTCAATGTGCTTGACCAATCTCTCTGTGATATCCCAGGTAAAAACAGGTGGTTGGATCCTCTACCTGGGATTCCAGATGGGATTGGTGGTTAATCTTGGCTGCCTTTTTACCTGGGTCTGGCAGTAGTGATATAAATGGGTCTGATAATAATGGCGACATTAAGGGTGGTGGTGGACACAAGAGTGGGATACATTGCTGTGAGGCTATTGTTAAAATTGTTTAGGTGTATTTATTTTGCTGTCAGCATCTTGTAATATTGTGAAAATGGTTATGGTTTCCATGTTCAGCTGGAAGATAATAATTCCCCAATATGAAAAGCTATTATTTCTGATGTAATCTATGATAGAAGTGTAGAATTTTGTTAGTTTTAATTACCCAGACCAGTAGAGAACAATGCTTGAGAGTGGAAGCTTGAGATAGCTGATGGTAAATAACTGAATAAATTTAATTTATTTTACCATGAAGAATAAGTTCCATTGCTGAACATGATGGTGGAAAGCTTTAGCAATTTTTTTTTCCATCAAAGGTTGGTTATGATATGGCCAGAGAATTGATTCCCAGCTTGCAACCACTTTCTCCATTAGAGCATCCTGGAACTTCTTGTAGTACTTTCATCAAGGTAGTTATATTTATGTACCCCTACCCAAAATAATTTTTTGGCACTTACTGATCATTAAGCTCACATCCTAGTGCACTTAAGAGTCTTGACCTTGTAACCATAACTGACAAAACCTGGATTTAGTTCAGTTTACACCATTCTACAAACAACACTCTAGACCATGTTTCAGCTCTATGCTAACATGACCACTGGTAATCTGAACATTAAATATATTCTTGAAACTCCTTAAAAACTACTGATATAAGGAAAAGATGTTGTTTATCTAAAACATGAACAAGAAAATACAATGAATTGTCTCTTAGTGGGGCTGCTAGTGTCCTTGGAGGCTCAATTTTATGCCAGAACCCTTGCACACCCCACACTGGCTTGCTTCACCCACCCCATCAATTCTTGCAGACTTTGTAAGAAGCTTGCATTTAGTGCTCATGTGGCAGTGCCAGACTCCTGGTAAACCTTACTGTGCTCATTAGGTGAAGCTCACATGATTCTTATTCTTACATAGCCATGAATTCTTCTGATGGTTTTTTAAATTTCCTCTTAGAGTGATATTAAGTCAAGTCGTAGCCCACAAGTCATTGATCTCACAAGTGAAGGCTCTTTAACAACTATGGCACATCAGCCATTGAGGCATATGCCTCCTTATCCAGCTCATCCTCATCATTCCTCAGCCTTTCACAGAGTTAATAATCTGCCTGGTCATCCACCCTCAGAAAGTCATGGGTGAGTACTCTATTTTACAACAACTCAAGCCCAAGTTAATAAAAATGCTATATTTATTGTGTTATATGTGTGATATGATGAAAATTATTTTGAGTCAGTCAGGGTCTATCTTATGTTGCTTTACCTGCATCTGTCAACTTATTTAATATTCTGATTTAGAAGTAATTTTGTGTTTTAGGAGTTCATCAAGTCATAGCTGCCCCTTTCTTCATCAGCAACAGCAGCAGCAGCAGCAACACCATCACTCTTCACACAATAGATTTTTCCATCCATCAACAAACAACAATTTCTGCCCTCTCAGTATGGGATCTACAGTTCCTTTACAACATCACCCACCCCATTCTGGACCACCAGTTCTCATCGATGTGGATCAAATACCTGATCATGTCAGAGCAGTACCAGTAACAAGCCTACCAAACTCTTTGCTAGTTGCAGGTGTCCCTGTTGCAGCGCCAACATACATTCAACCTCACCATTCTCCAGTAAGTAATCTTCTTAGAAGTTTACACCAAATTGTTGTAGCCAGCCATGTCACAGACAGGTACCAATAGGAAACTTTAAAAAGGAAAACAACCTAAACTAGAATTAGTTGTATGTAGGATTAATAGTATTAGTAGTATTAGTTTTTCATTTTTTATTCTGCCGATTTTTCAGATGGATGTTGATGGCAGAGGAAGTAATGGAGTCAGTACACACCATCATCATCATTATCACCACCATCACCACCACCACCATCATCATATCGTGCAGCCTCCTTACCAAGTTCCACAGCCACAGGCATACCACCCATACCCTACACCTGGAAGTATGGTAAGATATCATTTTAACCCAACATATGGAACTGCGTTCTTTTCATCAGTTCTGTGAAGTTTCCAATCTTCAAGGATATAGTGAGTTTTGTAGTGTATTAAAATAAGTAATCAATAAAATAGGGAGGGCCCTGAGTAGTGTGTTATTTTATATCTTACTCCAGGATTACCACATCTCCATCCCTTCTATAAATAAAGAGACCATATATTCAGTTGTGGAATTTGTGAATCAGGTCTAAGACATCCATTTTTGTTCTTGTCTCTATTAGCACTACAGACACTACCGAAGATGGCACCACAACAACACATCTCATCCAGGTTGGCCTTCCCGGCGTGCTCACCGCACACCTCCACCACCACCCCCTCCTCCTGTGCACTCTGGTGTACATCCATACCCTGATTTACTCTATCATTTAATATCTGTGATGTCCATACAGCAGTTAGCAACACAGCCAACTCCTGCTGCATGGGAAGAAGAACTTCATCCACGTGAAAACTATGAGGTAAGTTTTAATTTAAGAGGAAACTGCCAGCTATTAAGTGCTTCTTCATGATTGTTAAAATTTCTTTACATTTCTTGCAGACCCTCCTTAACTTTGCAGAGCAAATGGGAGAGGTAAAACCTAAAGGATTGTCACGTGTTGAAATCGATCAGCTTCCCACATACCGTGTAACAGCAGGAGCAAAGGAAGAAGCTGAGGAAAAACGATGCGTGGTTTGCTTGGTAGACTTCGAAGAGAAACAGCTTGTCAGAGTATTGCCTTGTTTGCATGAGTATCACACAAGATGTATTGACAAATGGCTCAAGGTAAGAGCAGTTTTGATTTCCAAGGATTATAAATTAAGGTCTATTTCAAGGTTTTGGGCCAGGGTTTTAAATTTCATGCAAGTAACATTTGTGGTAATTCTTTTCATCAGATGGATTGAAAGATTGCAAGTTACTTGAAATTTTGAAATATAAAAAATTAATTGACTTTGAATTTTACTTATAAAGCAAATCAATTAAAGCAATATTAACTATGGTATTGAATTGAATCATGGAGCAGGATTTGACCAATCTTTATTTGTAGCAAAACAGTTGAGAAATATTTTAGTTTGCTTTAAACAATAAGGGGAAAAAAGGGATAACACCTGTCTAATTTAACTTGAGGAAGTGACTTCCCACCCCTTTTAAAGGTGTCTAAAGCAGACCACGAGTAATCTGTAGTTAGTTGGAATTGTATGACTGTAAATATTATTAAACAATGAATAAAAAGAACATTAAGTAATGGTTAGACTGTGCATCTTAAAATTTTTTCATCCATTTAGGTTGATAGCTGATAATATGATTATTGAATTTATTTGTATTTATTTTGTAGTCAAACAGAACATGTCCCATTTGCCGAGCAGAGGTTAATGTCAATACAGATTAAAGTGAAGAGTTGAAAAATGGATTTAAGGGAGATGTACCCTTAATGAAGAACAAAAGAGGTAGCAGCTGCAATAAAATTTGGGGTCAAGAAAGATGGCTTAACATTGAAAGGCCTTCAATTGTAAAAAGCTATAAAATCTTAATTGCTATGTAACCGCAATGTGTTCCATGAATGAAAGGTGCAATAATGCAGACTTATGCTATATATTTGGAAGTGTTGAGACAAAATTGAGATAACCAGCTTATGCTGACATAGGAACAGTTGTAAACATTGTGGCTATCATGATGTTGAGCCCTTTATACCAATACAAGGAAATAAAACAATTTATTTTTAGCTTATGGAATACTCCAACCCTTTAAATTCTAGGGAGAAAGTCATCTGAGAAAAAGTGAAGCATTTATGCAAAACATTGAAATTTGTTGGTGCAGAACGAAAAGGAATTTTATCTGGAAATTTTTCTTGCTTTATGCAACATAGTCAATACTTTCATTTTTGAATTGAAACTACACAGGTCAGTCATATCTCTTACTGCCAAATACATGGCTTTGTGACCCATATTTTGAACATGTCAGTGGAAATGCAGATTGGTAAAAACTATGTGTTAGCTTGATGCTGCTAAGAAGTGATGAAACAGTTTTTGTTTTCAATCTCTTGACCTTAAAGATCTAAGAATTTCTCTGTCCTAAGGAGTATATTGAGAAACCTATTTTTCCTTATGAGAATTAGCAATTCTGTTTTTTGGATTTAGGAACTTTTCAGATCAATTGAGTATAGGTGGGTTTTCTCTTCTCTGCTTGCATGTATTCATTTTGGTAAATGAAGTCCATGGTTCACCTGTTGTTCCATTTAAGTAGTTTTGAAGAGAACAGTTCATTTTTTTGGTTTTTAATCATGGTAAGGTATCTCATTACAATTTCGATGGAATAGAAAACTTGCACAACTTTCGTATTACACAAAAGATATTAAAACCAAGGTCAGATAAATTAATTGGGCTTGATTGTGACCATTGAGCATAATGCTGGAAGAAGTATTGTACTTAATGAACATACACATCTTAACCTCTCTTTTTCTCTGACTTTCATGAAGTTTCCAGGCAACACATTGGAAATGCTGTCTCACTTTTCATTACTTTGGCTAGTAGGCAAAGACATGTCAACAGATGGCTTGTTACTATTCAAGTTCTTGCTATGCGTGGTTGCCTGGGCACTGTGAGAATTAAAATTTGCTTTTAAAGCTTGCACCTTAAGTCTAGTTAAATTTTGACCTCAGCCTAAGTAAATCTCAAAGTTTTGAGTGTAATTTATCTGACCTCTATCATAATTAGCCTCAGTGTAATTGTTTTGTATTTTTAGTGTTCTAAAGAGTTACTTTAAATGGAGCAACACCTATTTACCTTCCCAAAATACGAACATTTTACTATCTCATATTATTTTGTTACCTGTGATAAACAGAGAATTGTACTTTGCTCATTCTGTTTCAAAACAGAAACCCTCTCATACCAAAGCAATTTGTAAATAAAGAATGGCCATTGAGTAAGACATGCTAGGTATGAAAACTAAAAGTGGGAAAAATAATTTTTATAAAGTAATGTCACATACATATAGATATATCCTGCTGTTTTGTACAAAAAAGTATAAGTTACCATGTGCATGGGGATGAATGTGGCTGTGAAAGTAAACAAAAGTTGAGAGAAATATACTGAGCAAAAGTTGCATTACTGATTTTATTAAAAGGAATTTGAAAAATGGCAGCCATGAAAGGTCAATGTACATGAAACAGCAATAACAAATAAAGATAACTTTTATGACAAGTTGTGAGATGAATTATTTTATCTTGTTTGATTCCTTTTGCCAAAAGCTGGCATCAATGATGAAAACAGGCGTTAAACAATGTGATGACAGTACAGTGCAAAGGGAATAACAGTAATAATGGTGTCTCTCTGCAATGAGTAATCCAAATTACAACAATTATTCAGGTAATTGTGTAGTACATTGCATCTATTGCTGTCATTATTTCTTACTTTTGAAAACCTCCATCTAAGAAAATTAAATATATTTTAACCTTTAATTTCTTGAAGTGATTAACGTTTAACTTGCCGATATAATATCCAACATTACCCAGGCAAACAGTAATAAGACTGTTCAAACTTATGGGGTTGAAGTTATCTTGATCTAACATCACATTCTTGTAACCAATATACAAGGAAATGTGTAGAAGTTAGAGGATAGAATTAACAATTAGATTTTATGAATAAAAGGATTAAAAATATGTTAGTTGAAATATAGGTTTCTGTATTTGAGAAAAAGGCTCAATGGAAATCAATACACAAGTAAAGAAGTTTAGAACTATAATTTACCTGGATAAAAAATAAGCAAAAAATATAATTTCCTCCTAAAGTTTTATTGTTAATTTCATGATCAGTTACCAGAAAAGAAAAAAAATATCTCCAAGTACACTACATGAGTATTCCCCAACCCATTCAATGATTGTATTTAAGTTATTACAGTTAACATTATGGGTTTACAAGTCAATCACTTTATTTAAGTGCTCCATCAAAATTTCTAGTACATACATGAATATTCTTCTTTCAGCAGAGGAGTAAGAGTGGCCTTGGTTTTTTCACATCAGAAATGCTACCAAAAGGCCAAAAAGGCTGAACTTCTCTAATAAATAAAATCTGAAATTCAACTTATCTAAAACAGGTCAAATCATAAACCACAGTTTGAACTTTGCAATAGTTTTTTAAAACTTTTGAAACAGTTCATTTGAGAAATTTGTATAAACCTATCAGAACTGAATAAAAGTTTGACCCATGCCTTTTGAAATCTATGCAAATCTCAAAGTTCTTTTAACACTAATTACTTAAAATCTTGAGTCTAAAAAATTTCTTAAATGAAAAATGGAATAGGTATATTCTCAAAATTATAATGGCAAGCCATCATTCATCAAACAGGCATCAAGATCAAAGTCACCAAACACATCATCAATACTACTTGGGGTGGATGTTGACATCATGTCATCATCAGCATCACCATTATAACTATCCACTTCCATCTTACCCTCACAAGGGAATGACTGAATACTGCTGTTGAATTAAAACATTTTCAACCAATAATTAACACTCAATGACAAAAACTAGCAATGTTAAATGTTGATTACTTGAAGAACACTTACTGTAATCACAAAACATTTTGGTCACATGTACATTGGTTCAAAAGAATCAATTACCTTCAACCAATAATTAACACTCAATGACAAAAACTAGCAATGTTAAATGTTGATTACTTGAAGAACACTTACTGTAATCACAAAACATTTTGGTCACATGTACATTGGTTCAAAAGAATCAATTCCATACAGACAGCTCTCCTTTAGTCAACCCTTAAACTCTCAAGAGCTAATTGTTAATTCTCCCTCCTAGCTATGACACTTTTACATGTAAATTAGTAACATGAATTTGTGTTAAATCAAGAACATGTCTTCCTAAAAAGTTTGAGTATTCTCATTTCCTGTTTTTTGGATAATGTATGGATATTACAAGGAGAAATTGTATGTTGATCCCTTCTGAAAGTTAAGGGGTTGATGAGAGTAATGCTTCAAACCACTCTTTGCCTACTAAATGTGTGTCCCTACCTCTGTGAAGACAAAGAGAACAAATCCTCTTTTCCTTCAGATGGCGGGTCCCAGATGTGAAGTTTTCGACGCCAAAGCTTCACCTGACCAACCCAAGATCGAGTGCTGCATATTTGAAATTTGTCTGGTGTATTGGGGTCTTCTTTTGTCCGTTGTTCTCTGAAAGTTTTATTCAATAGGAAGTGCACATAAGAGACTTATCATTTTTGCTAACTGTAAACTTACAAAAATTCAAGTTTAATTACGTTGGCCATTTTTCTGGTGATCTCAGCTGTAATAGAATAGTACTTGAATTAATCTCTAAGGGTATTGGTTCAACAAGTGATAATATATAGATTTAGGCAAGCCTAAAAGCGGAGCTTGCATTTTTTTTTTTCCTGCACGTCTCTTCAACAGAACTAAAGCCCCTACTATGGATAAAGTGCATGGTAATATTAATGGATTTTCATTCACAACTTCTCCATGTCCGTGTAGAGGATTGATCATAAGACAATGCCCATGGTAGAGTTGGCCGCACATGCTAAAAGTAGCACCTTGTACGATCAGTCGTACAGTCATATGGTCATACATCCAAATTTGTTCGGCTTGATGGGTTACCACTATTTTGTATAATTATGGGGCTACGCAAGCTCCACTATATACTCACAACAGTTAAAAAAACATTCTCAACATTGTGGAGGATGGTAAGACTACCATTGCATGCTAGTAATTACCTTGGCACTGCAGCTGTGTAACGTCCATAGGACAAGGTGTTCTTTCCAATGTCAATTTGTTTTTGTCTTTGGAGCAGTTTATGTGGATCAGTCAAGACAGGTTTCTGGCTTAGAGATTTTAAATTTTCATCCCTAGACTCTGAGAGCAGCAGTTTTCTTTTAAATCTGCAAGTTTCAATTAATTTTGCTTAGTACAGTTAAGTTCTCCAGAAAGCATTTTATGATGCACTAGATAATGATATTTAAGTGTTGAATACATCTCTGTCTTGGATACCAATAACTGACGCATAATAATACAAGTTCTAAGCCAGAATTTTTACTATATCACACATTTCTAATTCTGGTGGAATATTTCCTTGTCATTGGTAAAGTTTTTCTACACTGTTTAGCTTCTCTGAAGGCCTAAACAATTAAAAAAAAAATGAAAAGAAATGACTGTCTCCAGAGGAAAAAAATGTACATTGCCCAAGAAAAGTTGAACAGAAAAATAAGATCCTGAAAACCTTTACTCTATTTGTCATAGATTTCTTCATCAGAAAATTTTTTAATTTTACACCCTAATCTTTGAGGGATATCTCAATTATTTGAAGTAATACATTAGTTTTGGGTGATGGGTCTAAAGAAGTCTATAATTTGTGAAGCTTTGCTTCTTAGCCATCAGCCAGCAATTGTTTGTGATCATCTCATGGTTAAATGTGACATTCTGCCAAATGTGATGTTCTTATGAAAGCAAGATTTAATTCTTGAAGAATCTTACTAGTCTCTTAAGAACAGCTAAGTTAATGTCTGCCTGTTCAGTGGTTAGCAACACAATGGACCAGTGCTGTGGCTCACAAATGTTAAAAGATCAGACAGTTATTGCAGTGATGTGGTGATGATAAATGACTGGATAAGTACGGAGGAGCAAACACACACACACACACAATGGAAGAGAAAGATGAATGAACTTATGAGAAGGCAAAGTCACATTTCCATGTCTCCTGCACTTCGCTGTCATCATTTGGCATTTACCTATCACTCACACTGTACATTGTGCATTTTTTTTGTGGCATGGCAAAAGAAGAGCTCAGTAACTTGACAGCACGAAGGGTAAGACTCTTTTCCTTTATTCACCTTTTTTAAACAAAAGTTGACCATTGTGGTCATCATTAACAACAAAAAACATTTTCATAGCATATTTTAGAGGCAGCTTATTCCTGCTGTGATTTGTGGGGGAAAGGGTGGGTAAAAAATGTCGTCGCCTGCTCATGGAGTGTCTTCTTCATTGTAATTTCCTGAGCAACTGGTCCACAACCTTACTATTACAGCCAATTATTAGTGCCCCACAGCGAGTTAGAGCCTCAACATTTACATATTCAGACCCAGGGTGTTTTTATTAAAACATGGTTGCACTGTGAAAGGTATTATTCCTATAAAATTACCCACAATTACTTTACAGGTGAGTTGAATCGATTTGTTTAACTTTAAAAAAACAAAAAAAACAAAAAAAAACATACCTTAAATTTGTTCTCTTTTTCACTGGGTCTCTTTTCCCTTCTTCCTCTTCGTCAACTATACTTCCCCAGTCCTTTGTCAACTCAGGAGTATAACTGAAGGATAATTATTTACATAGTACTTTCAGTATTACAAACTCATTCATGTACTTAGAAGGTGAATTCTTTTGGAAGCAATCCAGATCTGCATTGGTGATACAAGTTCATCACCTGGTGAATTTGCTCAGAGTTATGATTCATAAGCTTCTTCAATGTGTTAGAGCAATTCTCAATTGAGTTTCCAGAGTAAACCAGGATAATGTTTTGGTTTTACTTAACCTTGCTCTGTAATTGGTCTAGAAAACTTCTTCCATCCTCTTGACCAATCTTATGCAAATCTTAAAATAATTGGAACTAATTCATTTGCATTTTCCAGTGCTCCAACACTTTCAGTTCTCATTGGCTAGTGATAATGTTAACCTTGGTTCTGATTGGTCACTTGGGTTGACTTGGTTTTTTTGATACTTAATTGAAAATAGCTCTATAAAGCAGGTGATCTTGGATCACTTATCTCTTAGTTGTTAACGTTCTATATTTCTGATCAAGAGGTCCAAATTTGAGCCTCGGCTAGGGTCTACATCACTATGCTGTGTGTTTATAAACATTACAGTATTTCTCTCAACCCTGGCATATAAATGAATTTCAGAAAACCATCAGGAAATCTTTACAAAATTTTGGCATAGAATCGCATTCTACCTTCAAAGAGAAGCAAAACTGCCCTTTGTTATCTCACGGAGGGCCAGTATGAAGACTTAAACACCATTGATTGGTACAAAAACAGATAACATGAATATTTACCTCGAAACTCCAAGAGGAGGGAATTCTTTGGAGAGGTCCTGAATTTTAAGATGTGATCTGTTGGGGGGTGTCTGTTTGCTGCTTGCAGTTTTAGCCCATTTATTTCTTTCGTTTTGAGGGGTGTTTACATCCGAGATGTTTTCATCAGAGTTGTTCTTGACCGAAGGAAACAGTGATATGCACTGACTCTCTGGTATTTCCCTCCTTCTCCTTTCGAAATAAAAGGATTTCTATAAACGCGTGCATATCTTATTCATAACACCCTTCTACTAAATTTGAGAACGCCATCGATCCTCCGTTTACACAGGTGTGTTTAAAGCGAATATTTATGTATGCCTTGCATTGCGGTTTAAGTATAATCAGCAACATCGTGAGAGCGTGAAATGAAAATGATGAAAGTTTAAATAGAACAAGTCAGGTTGATTTTGGTCTTTAATCTGGTTCGCACATCGCGAAGCAAAACATCATCTCACACAGAAATCTACCCTATTCTATTATGGCGGGAAATCCTTAGAACAGTTAGACTCATAATACTTACGATCTTGAAATTATCTGAGTCGTATCGCTCAATAAAACCTTATAATTACGTTCTTATTTTAAACCTGTCGATCAACGAATCAAGCAAACTGGAATAAAGCAAGGAAAGATTAAAAAGAATACCTGTGATTGTCACGCTTCTGTGTCTTTCGGAAGTTCCCTGACCTGTACATTTCACGAGAATCTCTCGAACTTCGTTCACTTTCTCTGCTGTCAGGACGCGATTTCTTGTTTTGCTGGAATGTAGGAGACTTTGCGTCCATATTGTTTAAGGGACTAATTATTTCTTGAACATCGATTCACTGAAAAAGTGGTTGTAAGTCAGTCGAGAGTTTAGGCGCTTTGTGAAATGAATTTCGCGCCAAGCGACGAAAAGAAGCTTGCTTTCCAAATAAGGTGACCGAAGCCAAATTAGGTTAGTGAGCGAGACCGATGACCGAAAATAGCGCAGATGTCTTTAACACCATCCCATAATTTAGCTTTGTAGCGTGGATTTCAGTTCGCAAAATGTCGAGTCGTTACTCAAGACCGCCAAACAGTTCACTTTACGTGAGAAATTTACACCATGATACGAGGTAAGACTCACAAGAGACACAGTATAACCTCTATTCTTTTTGAAATCCACGTAACGCTATGGATTTCTTTTCACAGACCCGAAGACCTTCGACGTATGTTCGGGAAGTATGGACGCATTACCGACGTGTACATTCCCCTAGATTACTACACGAGGGAGTCTCGAGGCTTTGCCTACGTACAATATCCTTTTCTGTATGTTGTGACTTGTTATTCGTCAAGTTTCTTTCTATCTCTGAGTTTCTTTGGTATTATTCGTAATAACTGAATTATCTCATTGTACTTTTGGTAGTCAGGACTAGAGAGAGAACGAAAGCGAAAGTCCTCAAGAAAAAGTCTGCTAAATCGGTAAAGATTTTAAAGCCCAAGCTAATCCAAAGTGGGAACGAAAGTAAAAAGTCCAAGTAACAGGAATGAAAGCTTGTAAAGACAAAGCAAAGAGATATGATTATTCAAAAGATGAAGTTAAAAAGAGTAAATTGTCAAGCTACGGCTAGCCCAGGCGCGAAAAAGGCAAAGAAAGGTTTCAAGGGCTTGTCGAGTTAAGAGCAGTGGTGTTAAAAGTGGAGCCAATTCTGCAAAGAATGAAATTTTTAGATGTAAGTATTAGAACCAAGCATTAACTTGCCATCACCATTGCTGTTTTTATCGTATCCAGAAACTCCTGTCCATTCTAAAGCTTAAAATTTTTTTCAGGAATTAAGTAGTAGTGCTACCAAGTATAAAAGATCATCAGCAACAACAAAGAAAAGGTGTAGGCATGTAAAAGAATCTTAAAGTCAAGTCAAAAGAAAGAATGTGGTTGGCCTGCTGATCAAAGTGTGTTGCACAAGGTGCAGGGCAATTGAAAGGCAAACAGAGTCATCATGATGGTTTCCTTTTCAACCACAGATAAAAGGCGCCTAGAAAGTTCAAATTTGTCGGACTTGCAAGCTTGGTACACAGACAAGTCTTTAAGTAATGTATCAGAGAGTTTGATGATCAAAATCTTTAAAGTTTAACAAGGTGCAAAGAAAGGCGACAAAATGACATTCCAAGCAATTATTTTTCATCAAGACTGGCATTTCGGTTATCAAGTACCAAGTTTTCGAAAGAATAACAACAAATACTGTAAGTAATTCATGGTGATATGGAGCTTCAGTGTCTGTTTTAGATAGGGTATATCCCTTAGAATAAGGTATTTATTACAAGGAGCTTGGAAAAGGAGGGGTAGCAAACGCTTCACTTGATATCAAACAATTAGCTATGTTATTCTGCCGGAACAAGAGATATGCCAAGGAAAAGTGACCTTTGTTCAAATAGAAAGCAAAAATAGGTGCAACATGGTGACACAACTACCCCTTGGAGGGCCTTTATCTAGCTAGCATTGCTTGTAAAAGATTTTGTGGCTTTTTCCTTTAACGTTCCTCTGATATTAACTTTTGAAGAGTTTCATTTTCTCAAGATGTGATTGTATTTAGCCTTCAGGAATGTAAAGGTCGGAATTTTCTTTCAAACTACCTGCTTAATAGCAAAATGCCCTTAACAGCATTAGTCAACCTGCTATGACACCTTAATAGAGTATTGTAAAATCAAAATAATGAATCATAACTAATAATTAATCACAGTAAAGGAAATTATCACAAAAGCCAACGAGAATGCAAAGAAGAAACCAGCAAACTATTCAAAGTTGGAAAAACATTGGTGAACTAGTTGCAATTGGTTTTAATTTTGAATCTCAATGGTGGAGAGGGTGGCATAAGTTTTCTGGACCAATCACATGATGAAGTGAACCAAACCAAATCAATCCAGATTAACTTTTGAAAATCAGTGAAAAATTGCTCTAAATGAATATGTTGGTGGGAAAATCAGAATAGAGTTTAGCCTTGTTAGAAATGTGGAAGAAATGTATCACAAGTAACTTTGCTTACAATCATATGTAAAGCATTACTTAGGGTCATTTGAGTGTGGCATGTTTTATGCCATTGTCAAATCTGCTCCAGAAATGCAAGGGAAGGTAATTAAAGAGTGTGACGTATCAGCATAAAGTATCATTGTGTTCAAGTGTACTTCAGTGGTGACAGCACCTTCAAGCTTCTGGTCCAGGTCAAGCTTGGAAAAGGGGAAATCAAGCCTTAACTAATGATACATTTGAAGATATCCGTGATGCAGAAGATGCCCATTACTACTTGGACAGGGTTGTTTTGCTTGGAAGAGAACTGGAAGTTCAGTTTGCAGAAGGAGACAGAAAGAGTAAGGCACTTTATGAGACATAAACCCATTCAACATCAAAATAAGTTAAAGCTTTGATACTTTTGGAATTAACACCTCACCTGAAGCCAGCCTTTTTTCAAAAGCCTCTCACTTGTCAGTCAGAATTGAAAATAAACTCCTATGCATAGTGGCACCTCTCCTCCCCAATGTTTTCACGGACAAGCACTGAGTTCTGTAAAGTTTTTTAACAGATAGAGAATGAACTAGAAATCAAACAAGATCACTTCGTTGTCATGTCCAATTTTTTGATGTTTAGCACTTGAGGCTCAAATAATTAAATAAGCAGAGCCACCCTTAGTTGTGTAAATATTTTAATTCCTCTTAACTTCGTCATTGCAATGCAAGAAACCAATCTCTTTTCTTTAAAGATGCATTTTATAGTTTTATCCTTGTAATTGGGCATTTATACCTTAACTGGTATGGATTTTGTGACTTGAGTCTGAGTCTTCTGTTTTATTGCATTTTCACCTGCTCTCAATATGATCTAACTGCAAATTATTTCTTTTGTTTAGCCCCACAACAGATGCGCGGCAAAGAAAAAAGGGAAGCCTATGGTGGTGGTGGTGGTGGTTACAGCAGCAGGAGAGATTATCAGGATGATTCTTATAGGTGAAACATTGCTTTTAATCTCTACTAACAAAGTTAGAGTACCTCATGATTGGGTGTCTTAAAACCCAAACCAATATGAAAAATACAGACCATCACATTAGAGGTCAATAGTGCAAGGAAGTACTAAGATTCAAAGGATGTACATGAGAAGTAGCTCATACTTGTGAAAGTGTTCATAATTCAAGCCCCATTAGATTGCCATCTGATTTGTGTGGAGGATTTTGAAAGGTTTCTTTTCAAGTGACCTACTCCAGTGAGTAATGCAATGGAACCATGGCAATTCCATTTTACTGTCAACACCAAATTTGATTTGCTGTTTAGTTTGTTTTAGTTTGACCCTACTGAGTTTGATTGTAGTTGGTGTTTTGGCCCACTAAACTCTGATTTAATTACATGTAATGGAATTCTCCTTTTTAGATCATTAGTAGATTTTGAATTTTTTTTTTTCAGTCGTCGCTCCCGCAGTCGCAGTCCAAGGTGAGTTTTTGTTATTTCAAAGCTAAGAAACATGCGTCTGTGTAGCCACTAAGTCCCCTAAAGTACCGTCTTTAGTCCCTTAGTTTTTTGTATGTGTTAGCATGTGACTGCAGTTGCTCCTCATCGCACCTAACCCAGCTGGCGTACATATCGACTCCTGTTTTGTGTTCGTTCAAGCGTTTCAATTCTTCTCTCGCTGGGAAAACCTAGCGAGTGGATGCATCCTCAGAAGGATTAAAATATTTTGTTCTAGAAGTTGTGCTGTTACAATGGGAGTAAAAATAAGACGGAAGACCGACATCTTTCCACGTCCTTGGAGTTTTTAGATGTAGTTCTAAGCAGACGATTCGTTCCAAAATTTCCAGTATTAGTACAGTTCATGATCACATTCATGATTGTTTCTTTTCTTCAGACGTCGTCGCCGTCGATCTCACTCCCGTTCTAAATCACGTTCTCCCAAACGCCGTGAACGCAGCAGCCGTAGCGAAAGAAGCCGAGACAGTCACCGTGACAGCAAAAGAGAGAAAGAACGAGAGCGATCACGATCTCGCTCGAGATCACGCTCGCCATCTCCCGCACGATCAGCAGCTTCACGGTCACGCTCAGGCTCTCCAGCAGCAGAGTTCAGCGATAAAGAAGAAGAACAGGGTGGACAAAGCCGCTCACCAAGTCCAAACTAAGTTGTTCTCACTATGTGCTCGATTTAAAAGACTTGAGATAGAAAAGGAATTATATTCCAAGAATTGTTGCAACACTTCCAAGTTCAATAATGCGTTTTTTTAGATTTAGTTTGGCCTCTAGCTCTGTTCACCTCTCTTAGCACAAGCCCAAGGCAGTGTTCCTGCACAGAAAGTAGGAGGAAGTTGAAGAACTCTTAAATTGATATTTGTGTTTAGTTTTGATCATGCAACAAGTAGTGTTGTTCCAAATCGCAGCTATTCTCAGGCTCGAAGATTTTTTCTGTGGCGGAGTATTTTCAATAAACGACGGCATATAATGATTTTTCCATTTTAGGGCGCTATGTACACATCAAAAATGCACGTGCAATCGAAATATAGCTTTATATCTTAACACTGTAAACTTTTATCGTAGCGTTGAGAATTAAATCTTGCGTTGTTTTACGTTTTGTTGAATACTGAATCTGGCTGCCCACCATGCTCATGAGTTACACACAATTCGTATGAACATCTAAACAACTTGATTGCATGACACTCAACTTGTATGTGGTCAGTTTCCTTCGTGTTGTCTTTCGTAAATTTTACAAATTTGGTTCACGGGAAAACTAACAGACAATTATATCGCAATGAAAGCCAAATCCTCAAGGATTGAGAATTTTCATTGAAATGTTTCTAGCCTTCGACCATCCTTGATTCCTCTAATTCCACCGAGTGACCAATCTTAGGTACACTGGGTGGCAGAGTCGCTCGGATCCAGGGCGACTGGTAAAAGCCTTAGAGGATTAAACCTTAGAGGAAGGTGCAAAAATTTATATTTTTACCATCTTTCCCTGTACGGTGATGATCGCGAAGGTCTCCGGGACGTACTTGTGGCCATGTAACAGTGTTCACTCACCACTGGGTTTCGATGGGTACGGCTGCACGTGAGTGACTGACCAACTGTCGGTTATTAGATTAGTGTATATTTCTGTTTTACTCCAATCCACCCCAGGTCCCCGAGTTTGGATAAATTCTGATCGACCTCTTTCCCAGGCAGGTCCAAGCCTTTGAGGACGCTCAGGAGCTAATACCACCAGACACGAGGCGCTAGTATCAATCAATTTACGTCCATATTCCTTTTACTCTAAAAAAAAATTCTTCGAAATGTTGCGTCTACGCAGTAATTCTCTATCTTTAGAAACATCCATAGATAACGGAAACCAGGAACCCATTACTTGATGGGTTCCTGCGGAAACCCAAGGTATGTACATATACACACACTTCCTCGGTAATTGGAATAGGCTGTAGTCAGGAGCCCATTACAGTAATGGGCTCCTGCTATAGTATAATAAATGTCAAGAGCATACTTTCACTATCCCTCTCTATTCCACCATCTATCTTTCAATACACGTTTACAGGATTAGAATTTTATTTTTAAATGATAGTCTTGGCGATTTTTTGCTGCTCGCCAAAAGCGTGTTACTGCGCGTGTTGCGTGAGATATGTGCTCTCTCAGTCAAAAAAACTGGGAACAATAATATTTACTCATTTTGCGCGGGAAATTGGTGTGAGGCTGGCCAAAATTAACGCCCTTGCGCATGCCTTACAATTGACCGCTGTGTTGTGCCATCATGACGGCCTATATCTTGAGTGTTCAACTGTGCTGTTCTGAACTGCGAAATGAACTGCCTATTTTGAGACCAAAAGATGAGCAAAAACGGTACCACAATCTTCACTTGCCTAATAATATACGACGGCTCTTTTCAGATGGTGTTTGGATGGAAAAAATGACGTCTCAGCGGTTTTAATACTCTGAAATGGAAACCACGTGTGACATGTAGATCAACTGCTGAGGTTAGTGAAAAACATAAACAAAAAGACTGGTTGATGAGCATGTTGTTTCAATTTATTTCTGCTCCCTGTTCTTTTAAGTTATTGAATAAGCTTGTAATGTAATCGGATCATTTTGACATTCCACCAGTATAAGTACAAATAGTTCTCAGTGTTTTGCGGGAAATTTAAAAAGTGCTGACAAAGTAAAATTAAATTTTCTGACAGTTTTAAAATTGCATATTCTTATATACGATGTGAAAAATTTTTTGTGTGAACGTAATCTAGTTCATGTTTATCTTATCCTCTGTTGACCTAAGTGTTGCACAAAAAAAGTATTATTTAATTGCATGCTAGATAATTATTATGAACTGTGTTGGTATTTCAACATTAATTCTTCAGTTGGTATTCAATTTCAAGACTTTGGAGCCCTCTTTTTTCCAACTATGTATTCCTCTGTATGTTTGCTCTATGTCTTTAAGGTCTACTAAGATGTATTTTGATCAAATATAGAAGCGATCCTCGTAGTTATGAACACTACTTAAGTAGTAGTGTAAATAAGGCCTGAAAAATATTCAGGTTCATACAGGATTTGAACCCATGACCTCTGTGATACTGATGCAGTTCTCTACCAAATGAGCCAACGGGCTTTATTTTCACCACTTCCTAAGTAGTGTTCATAACTGCAAGGATTGCTTCCATATTCATTTCTTCAATTGAAGTTCACATAAATAATTTTCATGTACCGGTATTTACAGTCATTTATATATTTTGATCATTGATGGAGTGAGAAGAAGGGAAACTACTTAGATCATTTTAGCATAGGGCCTATGACAACAGACCTCATTTTGATAAATATATTGATTACTCAATGTGCTCAGGCAAAAATTTACACCTTTGTCCCACCCCCCCCCCCCAAGTATATGTAAAAAGACAGTAGCATGAATTTGGGGAAAAAAGCAAACTTATTAGGGGAAGCAGAGAATAACATGTTTAATCAAAGTGTTAAAGCATGAATTGATTGTCTTAAAGATTAGAATGGAGCAAGTGAGTAACAATGTGAATTGAATGCTAACATCTTGAATTTGCAAACAGGATTTTGAGTGCCATGCTTAACGAGTTTGCTTGAAATGTTCAAAACATATCTGATTTGTCTCTTGGCTAAGATGAAATGCCACGTCATACTAGTTACAAAGTATTATTTTAACAATTTTCTGAAAATGTGGTCTTGTATTTTCAATTTGTTTATGTTCTTTACCCAAATGTTTTCTGTGCTCAGACCAAAAGATGGCTTTTAATTATTAAAACATTATAAACTTTGTGTGACAAATAACATGGCAATGCACTCACCAGGTGCCAAACAGTATTAGTAGTAAAGCCTAGTTGGATTCCAAGTCAGTTTAATCTGGAAGTAATGTGAGGTCTCTATATTCTTCACTGAAATGTTGATTAAGAAATGTTAGTGGCTGCTGAGTGCTCAAATGTTCCAACAAAAAAAGGAAACTATGAGTATGGATTATTTAATTAGTGGAAGGTACATCAGGCTATGTAAACACGGAAACCATTTTACATTTCTTTTATAAAATAACTAATGAAAGAGGAACAAAAACTATGTTTACATATGCTCGTGTAAAATGGCTTTATGGCCAATCAGAGCGAGCGTACTATTTGAATTATTTTATAATTCACAATGTATCTTCTGCAAAAATTACATTTTCTCCCCAGTCTCTTCCCACAGGATCGTTTTAAAACTGATTGAGAGGTCTACAGAATTTTGGATTTTAATTTTGAATTTTGAATTTTGAATTCCTTACTCTCATTAGATATTAACAAGACAGTCATTGAACTTGAGTTTGTTTGCCAAACCAGTGCTGTTATTTTTTCAAACATGTACATGTGCTTTTTTTTTTTCCTTATGTGCTCTCTAATTGACAGGTGTCAGATCATGACTGATACTTGTTAAAAAATTGTTTCAAAGTTTGTTTGGAAGCCTTTTAGATCAACCTTTTCATTACACAAATAAAAATGTTATGGTGAAGCCTCTCTCTTTCATTTGCATTAGTTAGTTCTGTTTCAACTACCTTTCACTTGTTCAAAAATTGTTCAGTTTATGGAGGATCTTGCCTAATTTACAGCCATAAATAAAGGATTTCATTAAGTTTTAGGAAAAAATAAAAGTGTTATTTGCCAGCCTAGGTTGGTCTGTATTGAGAAAAATTGTTCCCTCAGCCTATGGCATCAGGCAGTACTCAAGACCTTGGGCAGAGTTTTTACTAACATGGACCTCTCTGCTGTTATTCAATGTTAATTATTTCAGGATATTTATGCATTAAGCTCTGAGCTTAACTTGGCTGTTAACAGTTTGCTGCTGGACAGTCCTAGACAGTCATAACTCCTTAAGGTTAGAGCAGAAATGTTGGTTGATCTTGACTTATAGTTTTTGGTGCGTAAGGGTGAATACAAGTGGGTCAACTTAGTCAACCAATGAAGTGACAGAATTGGTGTCTTCTTTGAGCTCATGAAAATTGTATTGTTTCATTCTCCTGCAATGTAACATGATGTTATAAATGACTGACAGACTGACTGACTGATCAATGAACAGAAAAAAAAAACTACCTGAATGATTAACTGATTGACAAATAGACTTACTGACTGGTTTACAAGCTTGTTGATCGATCCATTGATTGATTGATTAGCTGATTGACACTGCCTGACTGACCAACAAATGCTCTGACTTACTGACTGACTGACCAACTGACTAGTTGGCCAAATTGCTGACTAAATGACTGACTGATGGACAGACTGACTTGTCAACAGATGGACTTTCTGACCAGTGAACTGGCTGATTGATTGACTGACTAACTGGTTGACTTACTGACTGGTTGACAAACAGATGGACTCACTGGCTGTTCAACTGGCTGATTCATTGACTGATTGTTTGACTGACTTACAGACTGACTGACCAACAGATGCACTAACTTATTGACAGACCAACTGACGGACCAAATGACTAGCTAGCTGGCTGGCAGGCAGGCTGGGTGGCTCGTTGCCTGGCTGGTTGCCTGGCTGATTGACCAACTGAATGAATAATCTATCAATAAATTTACCAAGAGACTAGTAGTATTGTTAATTCATTTATGCTGAATGGTTACAGACTGAACATAATTGGGTTTCCAGATGAGTTATTGCCTTTTCATATGATTATTTCTGCTTGATGGTTTCAACATCCTTTCCCACTGCCGAGATGGTCTGGGATACTGTAAAGGGCCATTATGAATGAGAAAAAATATCTAACCCTTAAATTTAAAATAAGATGTATAGGGCCATTTCTCAGTAGTAAGTCTTGACTCTGTTACACCTTGTGGGCCTGAATACTGCCTCACTGTTGATGATTGAAAAGTTAATTGTCAAAACATGGCACATACCTCTTTTTTTCCTGTCTGTACAGCTGTTTCAACAACTGACTATGGCAGCATTTTAAGCTTTCAAACAATTTTTTATCTGGATGAGTTAAACCTGTGTCATTGTTATTTTTATATCAATGTTCATTATGTTCTCACTGGCCAAGATGCAACTTTTTGTAACATATTACAATCCTTGTACAGATGTATGGGGTCAGAGCCTAATAAAGCACT